AGCTCCGAAACGTCTTGCTTTTTTGTCTTTTACATACCAGACGATGGGTGAAGTACAAAATAAGCCAAAAGGAGTACAGTATACACCATCATCAGAATCCTTTCAAGTCTACCATTAGCATAGTTGGTTGAGGCACTATGCTACAAGCCAGAAGACCACAGGTTTGATTCCCAATGAGGTCATTGGATTTTTCAATGCACCTAATCCTTCAAGCTGCACTATGGCCCTGTGGTTGACTCAGCCTCTAACAGAAATGAGTACCAGGAATCTTCCTGGGGCCAAAGAATGTCCAGCATATAAGGCTGACAACCTCACTGCCCTTTGTGAGCCAACTGTCTAGAAAATGTAAAAGCCTCAACATCTCACAACCCTATGGGCCTCAATGGCCTGTTACAGGTTTTGCACCTACATTTCTGTGTGCATTTCTCAGGTACTCACTCTCTTGTGTATTATTTACCACAGAAGGGTGATACAACATAAATTGTGATACATCACACTGAATCAGTGACAGAGAGAACTCACTGAAGCATTGAATTAATTTTGTAAATTAAGCCTAGATTCACAGACAGTTTCACTTTTATTTATGTTGGACATTCATGAATACATGAGCAATGTTAACATATGCTTTATAAAAAGAACTTATGACTAAAGATGTTTTATATGTAAACTAATTTGCCAGTAGATTATTAACCTTAAATGGTTGTAATGTTTCATATAGGTTTCATTCTCTATCATTCACTGAAGCACCACATTAAAAAGCATAAATATGCAGACCTCTCTACACATACAATGGAAGGATATTTCACTGTCTACTGTAGAAGTGTGTTTATTTATTATACTTACAGATGGCATCTACTGGCTGGAAGGGAGGAATCAGAGTGGCAGCAGAAGAAGATGAGACTAATGCTAATCATATTACTCCTGGTATTACTCCCAGTGGGACTTGTTCTCGTTGCTCTCTCGCATGTATGGACTAAGGACAGCAGTGTCCCAAACACTCATTCAAATGAACATACTGCATTCAACATGCATGGTAATAATTTCATAGCTTTGCAAATAAAGCTCTGCACATTTATTCCAACCTAACATATAGCTATGCTGTTACGTACTGTAAAAAAAAAAGTAAAGCTATCCCTGTACCAGGCAGTGAAGGCCCATAGGGTTGTGAGACGTTGAGGGTCCTGCATTATTTAGACAATTGGCTCAAGGATGGTGAGCTTGAGACTTGTGGGATGAGGCAGCAGAGTAAAAGAGGAAGTGATGGAAACAGACCTGTCTGCTCAGTTCAGAAGATACTGGTCACTAGTATTTTGTGTAGTATTCAAATGAACTGAACTCAAGTAACTGTGTTAGTATCTCTTAAGTTTCTTTTTAGTGTACATCATCATTTTAGATCTTAGTGATAACTGACAGATTTGTTAATTTAGTGTGTGTCAATTTGAGCATCTACTGTTTAACTGCGTCCAGGTAGGGTGCAAAAATAAAGTCGCCTCCACAGAATGTTGCCATTCAAATTTAGTTGAGAAATCATGTCAAAAACGATTGTTGTTACTAATTAATATGGTAACAGAAAGGGCAGCAATGTACACTGGGAAGTCTTGGTGATCTGAATTTAGAATCATTAGGAAACATACGCAATGGAATGCTACTATTCAAACCCAGCTTCATAAATCATCTGAAAAAAGGGAGAGGAAATATTCATGTAATGTTGTGTTTTTGGATGACTCTGGATAAGTGTTATCAGAAATACAATTAAAAATTAATGTTTCTGCAAGATGAATGGTTGATTTTCATTGCTGATTTAAGTAATTAGAGTGAACTATAATAAGCCTGGAATGTAAATGGAGAAAATGCCAGTAAAAGAGAAACATTCTGGTAGAGAGAGCAGACATTTTTGACTGGAGATCAGTGAAAACTCAGGAGTACTAGGATAAAGGATCCTCAGTATTTTATATTGATGAATCATGGGTTAACACCAACCTACTGCATATGATGGGAAAAGGAAGAAGTCAGGGACATCTAACCAAGGTGAACACTGCAGACTTATCGTGCTATATGTTGGAAGAATTAATGGGATTTTTCCTAATGCAAAACTTATTTATAGTGCTGAAGTGCAAAGCAGGACTAACACAGACAAATGAATGCCGACAATTTTGAGAGAAGGGTAGTCGAGAAATTGATTCCCAGTCTTACCCCTCAGTCAGTAATTGTTCTTGACAATGCAGCTTATCACTGCCCCAACAGTGACAAACCACTATCATCCTACACGATAAAGACAAACACGATTTCTTGGCTCCACAACAGAGGCATGAACTGTAACACAACTATGCGAAAGTACATTAGCTGTATAACATTATTCTTCTATTGAAATCCAAAGAGAAGGTCTAAAGAATTCACCACATCTTGGAGAAATATGGTCATGCATTTATGTGGGTGTGTAATATAGAAGTTCTGTCTCATAGTCATCATACTGTAGAGTTGTTCTATATATTGTATATACAGTACATATATAGTATGTTGAAATGGATTATGGCTACAGGTAGGCTTAGTCATTAAAACAATATATGATTTTCTTTCTAAAATGTGGAAGACTCTTTTTGTTTCTAAAAACTATTTTTTCTGGATTATAAACAAATCTGCAGATTTAGGGGCACAGACTTCAGTGTACTGTGCACTGGAAATAATTTTATTCTCCTGGACATTCATGTTCAAGACAAATACCTCTAAACTTATTCTGACCATGTTAAAATGTTAATTTTACAGTACAGTGTTTTCTAATGCCTACATGGAGAAAAGAATCCCTCTGCATTTAAAGTTATAAAAGGTAAAAGTGAAGGTGTCACTGTGTTTAATTAAGGACCACATGCCATGAAGACACATAGTAGATTCGAAATACCAACACACCAATATACAGAGTGTTTCAAAAAGAGCTTTACAACTTTGAAAGCTTATATAAGTTTATACAGAGGGCATACACAAGGTTTTGAACTGTGATAATGTAGCAAAACACACCAAGTTTTAGCTCAGATAGTTATGGTTGAATGTGACTTCCATTGGTAATGCGGCAGACGTCCTACCTGTAGTCAGTCTCTTGCTACACGCTACGTAGCACCTCTGGCGTCACTTCTGCAACTGAGGCAATAATTCGAATTTGGAGTTCAACGACATTTGCAGGCAAAGGTGGTACGAACACTCAATCTTCAACGAATCCCCATAAGAAGAAATCCAGGGGAGTAAGATCCGGGGAACGAGGTGGCCATGCTGTCGGCGCAGCTCTACCAATCCACCGACCTGAGAAACGGGTGTTGAGGTACAAGCGCACTTCTCCAAGGTAATGAGGGGGTGTGCCGTCTTGCTGGAAGTGAATGTGTCCTTCTTGGTCATCTTCGTCTGACTGTGGAATGAGGAACTCTTGGAGCATGTCCAGATATACGATACCTGTAATAGTCGTCTCCATGAAGAAGAAGGGGCCGTACACTCTTTCTTTGCTGAGGACGCAAAACATGTTCACCTTTGGGCTATCACGAACATGTTCCAGGAAGACACGGGGATTTTCACTGCCCCAGATCCTGCAGTTGTGGGTACTGACCTTAGCACTGGCATGAAACGTGCTCTCATCACTGAAAATTACGGAGACCGGAAACTTCTCATCGTCTTGTATCCGATGAAAAATTTGCATACAGAATTCCTTACGAACCGCCTTATCTGCATCCGTAAGGTGTTGAACGATGGATAGTTTGTACGCTTTTAAGTGTATGCGTTTTCGTAACACTCGCCACACAGCAACATTTGGAATACCAGTTTCCCGAGACGCACGTCGCGTTGAATTTCGTGGACTTCGAACGAAGCTCTCCCTATGTGTTCCACTGTAGGGTCAGAAACACGTGGCCGACCGGGTGGCTTGGCATGGCGCACAGAACATCCGGTCTGAACAAAATTCTTGTGCCAGGAGTAAATTGTAGGCCTGCTGGGAGGTTTCTTGCGATACTGAATGCGAAATTTCCTTGTGTAGCAGACTTCGTTTCTTAGAACCAAAACACAAAACGGGTACGCTCTGCAGCTTTTTAACAGCCGTCTTCATCTCCACCGCGGGAGCGCTCGCGGTGGCAGTACTGGGTACTACAATACTACGTGCATGAAACCCGTTTATTTTTTTTTTTTCTGCATTATGACAGTTCAAAACCTTGTGTATGTTCTCTGTATAAATGTATATAAGCTTTCAAAGTTGTAAAGCTCTTTTTTGAAACACCCTCTACTTTTCATAAAATGCACTTCATTTGTGCTTACTAGAATTAAAATGAAATAAATTAAATTAAATTACTCTAAACTTAATCTAACTTAATCTGTCACAAAATATCCACATTCAACTCGTGATTTTGCGAAAATTACTAGTACTATAGTAATGTGTATGCGAGTAAAAGAGCCGTTCATTCTTCTGCTATTTCCCTGACATCTGAATTTTAATTTACAATACACTGCATCTACCTAGACAACAGATAATAGACATATGTATAACCTAGCAAAACCCTAAGATAACCTGGAATAATGGTGACAGGTTCAAATATTTTGAAGATAGGAATGAAGAAAACCGTTACAGTGTTAGTTACAGTTAGTAAAACTTAGTATTCAACCTATTTGTAAACCTTTAACATTTATTTTTAATTTGTCTCTTTGTACTGGAATTTTTCCTGATCAGATGAAGATTGCCAAAGTTCGCCCTATTCATAAGAGAGGACGAATTCAAGAATTATCTAATTATAGACCAATTTCACTATTACCTGTTTTTTCTAAAATCTTTGAAACATTAATATATAACAGAGTAGTGAATTTCTTAAATAAACATAATTTGATATCTGATGCCCAAAATGGCTTTAGACAAAATAAATCAACTCATACAGCACTGCAATCATTTATTGAGGATGTTCAGAAAGCATTAGACAATAAGTTTTATGCTTTGGGTATTTTTTTGGATCTTTCCAAGGCTTTTGATGTGATAAACCACAAATTACTGTTGGCTAAATTGGAACTTTATGGGTTTAGAGGAATTTCACTCTCTTTGATGAGATCATATCTTATGGGTAGATCCCAGTTTGTAGAAATTGACCATGTTGATGCCAAGTCTCCAAATCAAAAATCATTCTCCTCTTCGTGTAAGGAAATAAAGTACGGTGTTCCTCAGGGTTCGGTTCTGGGACCTCTTTTGTTTTTAATGTTTATAAACGATTTGCCTAAAGCTGTTCATGAAGCGAAAGTTGTTTTATTTGCAGATGACACCAATATACTAATTATTGACAAAAATCTTAAATCTTTAAATGATAAAACTATAGTTTCTATGCATCAATTAGAAAATTGGTTCGCGGTAAATCATCTTATTATTAATATTGAAAAGACAAAAGCACTCTTTTTTCAGGGACGTGGTCCCCGTCAAATTGATAAACCGGAACTTTATTTGAATAATAAGAAAATAACATACACAGCTAATTTAAAATTTTTAGGTATATATATTACAGAGAATTTAAGTTGGTCCTCTCACATTCACCATTTAGTTCAAAAATTAAACAAAGCCATCTATCTTATTAAATCCTTACGAGATTTGGTCAGTCTTCCAATTTTGAGAAGTGTGTATTTTGCAAAATTTGAATCTTTATTGAGATATGGTATTATTTTTTGGGGTTGTGGTCAAAAGGACATTCAAACTGTATTTATAATCCAAAAAAAATGCTTAAGACTGATCAAAAGAGTCAATAACAGGGTATCGTGTAGAGAATTTTTTGGTGAATTTAAAATTTTAACCTTAACTTCATTGTATATCTTTGAGACGTTGTGTTTTTTAAGGAAAAATAGGATATATAACATCTCGTATTCAGATGTGCACGGTTATAACACAGTACATAAGCAGAATTTGTATGTCCAACCATGTAACACCTCACGTTGTAAAAGGAGTGTGATTAACATGGGAATAAGATTGTATAATAACTTGCCCTCTCAAATAAGAAGTATTCAAGAGTTCAAGGTTTTTAAGCGTCAATTAAAGGATTACTTGTTGTGCAAAGCTTTTTATTCCCTTCAAGAATATTTTTACAAGAATTAGCGCAATAATAGAATAAAGATACTTGGGTAATTTATTTTAGCTATTGCATGTAATTTATAGTTTAGCTTTTGTTGCCTAATTATACTCATCCACTGTTTTATCATATTTAAAGGACTTATTATGTTATTTTTCTATGGTTTTTTATACTATTAGTCATTTGATGTGATGTTTTTAATCTTATATATTTTTTTTTTATAAAAAACTGACTTGTCCAATTGTACATAATGTAACAGTTATGGATGTTAAATCAATCAATCAATCAATCAATATCATATGACAACTAAAACACAGAAATGCGTTACTTTAGAATCTGAATATTATGATTTAAATTTGAAGTTGCTTTCTTCAGAACTTCTTTTGTCTCCATGTCACAGTATCTGATGTAACTTTAAATTACATGCTTGGTCTGGCCCCACTGTACTCTCCTTTGAGATACCACACTTTGCCATTGAGAAGTCATGTTGTACAGGTTATGGAGCTGACTAAGACACAGAAAGTAAACATTATGTCATGCTTAGTGGCTGCAAATGTAATCATGAATGTACTTGGCTTCACTGAGTTACAGACGAAATGTCACCACCTGGAATGAATTCCCCCAATCTTCTTGTTTTAACTAAGATGGTTTCACTACACCAATTTTATCATTCTTAAAAATTAAGGTGGCTGCCCTGTGTTTCTGCCCCCACCATTACTTAATAATACAATTTAAATTCACAGTAAACCAGATGTCATATGCTCCTGAAAGAACAGAACTAGAGGGCAGAGGTAGAGATGTGATACAAGATCTGCAAACAAAGTTTGTTCCACCGTTAACATCCTACTATATGATTAGGCAGAAGAAAAGAACAACAAATGCAGATGAAGTACATATGTTGGAGACATATAAGGTAAGTTCAGCAAAGTATGGTATATGACTTTAATATATTCACTGAACCATCAGTTTAGAAACTAAGTAATATGCAACAAAACTTAACAGGAATGCTGGGAATTTTATAATTTAAAATCTTGATTAGACCAAAATATCAGTAATCCACTCAAAAAGAAATCAGACTCAATCAGTATTTCTTCTTAAAGTTCAAATATAAAAAGAGAATTATAACACTTATAAAATTGTTTAAAGCACAGGTGTAATTATTACAACCTGCTTTAACATTTGAGACTCTCCAGTTTTCCCACAGAGTGTATTTCTCGGTTTTGTATGATTCTCACAAGAACAGCAATTACTGCCCTGAACAGCCTTAACCAGATGTCTTCATAATGGAGATGTGGTGTGTTTTCTATGACACAGGAACTGAATTTTTAACTTCATGCCTCTGAGGATTAACTACAAAAATTATTCCTATTCCATCATGTATATTCTGTGAAGACAAAAGACTAACATGCATATTTTCGAGGTGTGCTTGGTAGAAAAATGTATTTATCAGACAACAACAAACAAATTTTGCAACAATTAAAATGTTGCTACAATGGCTATTCAGAAAGTAATGTCCAGTGAGGTGTTAACAAAACAAGCAATGAGAGAAAAAGTGTTATTATGTACACAAAGTATGTCCATACTTAAGCTACTTCTCAATTTAGTCATTGCCAGAACTGAGGCACTTGTGACATTGAGGAATACGTTTTTTTTTTCATGCCTGTGTCAAAGAAGTCTGCCACCTGTGAGTTCAGCCACGTTTTGACACCTTCCATTAACTCCTCATTATTTTCAAGTACTGTCATCCCAGCCAGTTCTTCAGGTAGATAAAGAGGTGGTAGTTGCTACAAGTGAGATCAGGGTCATAAAGAGGGTCGTCAAACAATTCTCAGTTGAAATGCTCCAGCAGTGCTCGAGTGTGAGTATCTGTATGTGGATGCACATTGTCATGGAGAAGCACTACACCATATGTCAGCATTCCATGCCTTTTGTTCTGAATGATGGGCCATATGCAGTTTTTTAATGCACCTCTGACATTATTATGATCTCTTGTTGCATAAATTCCACCATCAGCCCTCATTTACTCTCATCAGCTTTCTGGCAGATGTGTGTTTAAATTTTTTCGGCTTATTTGGTGAATGTGTGTGCATCAACTGCTTTGACTGCCCTTTGATTTCAACATTCACAAATAAAACCCAGGTTTCATCACCTGTTACTGTACTATGCGACTGAGAAATCCATTGACTTCTTTGTGGTACCACTTTAAGCTGAAGCCATTCTCTGCATTCTGTGTGCAGTCGTGAGCATTTTTGGAACCCATTTTGTGTAAAATTTGTGATAGCCTACCCTTTGTGTGATAATCCTATACAGAAGAGTGTGTACAATTTGTGGAAATTCATACAAAAGTTCTGAAATTATGTGCTGTCTTTCACAAATTTCTGGTCAACACTTTGAACAATGTCATCACTCATTCCATATTGCTGGCTGACCACTTCACTCTTCATCATGAACATTTGTTCCCCGATTTTTGAACATTCTACACCATTGTATTACAGTTCCTTCACTCATTACATTTGGGCCATAAACTGCACATAACTGATGATGTTTTTCTGCAGCACTCATTTTTTTAACGTGAAGAAAGAGTATAACAGCATGAATTTCACAGCTGATAGGATTATCAATCACAGGAAACACCATAACTCACTCTGCAAAGACAAGAACAAACACCAGGTGACCAGTTATATGATGGTTTACAAGGCAATGAGTCATGTGACATTACCTTGCATGTGGGAGTTCTCCCCTACTCCTACATTAGTTGCCTAAATTAAACGAATATTACCTTCCGAATGGCCCTTGGGTTTGCCGTTCAGTGCACTGAAACATTTCCTGCATGTAACCAATGATATAACACTTTTTATAACATAAAACATAAATAACTGATAAAGAGACACTCTTGTATATTAGTTTTGAGGTTCACACAGTGGTGACTTCTGGGATGTAATGCCATTTAATCTGGTATGAGTTCACTGATGTTTTGGAAAGCACTACTGTCTCCAGACCCTGAAGATATAGGTAGTGCAATCTTCTGAAACAATGATGGACTTCTACTGAACTGCATGGTGTTACATCCCAGATACTCTATACTCTACTGCCTGAAATACACATGTCAGGTAATAATATCACTTGTAGCAATACTTTTGTTCTTCTGAACACCAATTCCTGAGGACCAGGAAAGCAGATAACAACATTTTATTAATCACATATATATTGAAGTAGAAATAAATATATTGCTGTAATATCAGTTTTAAAGATATCATATCCTTACATATTTCATCCTTAGATGCAATATGTAATAAGCCCATGCTAATGTTCCATTTAGTCGTTTTAATCCCTAGTAATGTAACAAGCAACCTCATAATTTGGGGTGTGCAAGACACAAGTTCCAACATAGATGCTTTGAATGATGGTGGACATGTTATTTCAGCTACTGCCAACACTCTTCATATAAAAATTTACAAAAGTGCAAAATTAAGAAGAATCAAATTTTGAGTAATAAAGAAAAAATATCACATCAACATTCTGAAATATTGGGAAAGAACTTGGAGAGATGGGAAGAACAAACACACTGTCTTCAACAAACCCACTTCCAAAGGAGGGCTAGAGATTGAAAGAATAACAATCATTGTACTGTCGCCCTTTAAAGCACACTTATTGTTCTGTCTACCACCAATAAGTTCAGAGGATAATATAAATTTTAGAGGAATGGATTATGTGGATGAGAGCTACAGTAGATTAGGAGTATGTCTTGAGTATTAGTAGTACTGAATCCAAAGATTTTGTTAATGCAGTTAGCTAATCATATAAGTAACTTTGTGTGTAGTATGGCAGCTGTATGCCTCCTAATAAAAATGTGTGTACAGGAAATCAACCAGGACTACCAGATGCCTATGCCATATGAAGCAGAATACTATGACCGAGTGGCAGCCAATTATCCTGATGAAACATCTGATGCAAATTATGAAATGGATGATACTCATTACAGGTGAAATAAATGAATCAGCAGAATAATTTAAGTTTTGCTTCATGAGCAGTTTATCTCAGTATGTGGTCAATTAAATTCTCAGCTTTGTCACTGGGCATCCACACAGCAGTCATTATTTTAACATTTTGTGTGATTTAATATAAACCCAGACACATATAAGGGTAATGGATACAAATCCATCCCTCATAAATGAAGCTTTCAAGATACAAACATTTTGTTTCTTGTATGCATAGTTTGTGTATTGATCAATCCAATAATAAAATGTTGATTAGAACTGCTGCTTAATGTCTTCTAGCCATGAGGACACTGACAAGAGTGCTGTCTCCAATGATCCTGTTGTGGTGAAACGCCACTACTTCCCATGGGAGGATGTTGATGATTATTACCACCCATCAAGAGAAAGAGAAGAAAGACAATATGAAAACTATGGTTTGGGGCAAGAAGCTTGGCTTGCACCTCAGGACAGTGCTCCAGGAGAAAAACTAGATTTCCACTCTTTCTGGAAGGGTGAATGGGACTATCATACAATCAGACTTGCTCAAGGTGAGAAATTATAATGCTACACTAGCACAAGATTTTTATTTCTTTCTCTTCTTGCATGCATTTTTACATATCAGGACTAATAGTCAACCTCCATTTGCAATGTTCCTTTATATACTGTGTATAAAGCAACTTTGAGATTGCAGCATCATCACCTAGTGACATAAATGATTAGGCCATCATTAGAAACTTACTGGTATCTCATTTCAACATACACTGGCAATCAGAACCATCCTGCCAGAGAGCACATTGAACACACAAAACTTGTCTTCCGTGGTGTCAATTCAAGATATGACATACCCTCAAAGATGTTTTAGACATTTATATTTTCAGATGATGGAAACTTGTTTCTTTCTTCACAAGATATCAATTGACTTCACAAAAAACTGGCAAATGAAAACATGACTCACAAGTGATTAAATTCCAACACACTTATTTTGTAAAGAGTTAAATGTTAATTAATAATTTTATATCCAGATAGTCTTGAAATGAAATAAAATGTACGTTTTTATTTCATATTTATTTTTAGTATGATGAAAATCTTACTATAAACAGAAGCTACCAGCATGGATAATACATAAAACATGCAATTCAGAATTTAATGTGAACTTCATTTACTCTTTTATAAATGTGTATGTATTATGTGTATAAATAATCTCTTACTGTTACTTATGGTTGGTACCCTACCATTTATCTCTCTTTACATTCAGTATTTATTAGAGTTCATAAATAATCTTTGTCTGTATGTTAATGATTACAGCAAAGGCGATGTCAAGTTATATGGATCTCAATGCAGACCCATGCCATGATTTCTATCAGTATGCATGTGGTAACTGGGGGATAGAAAATCCCATTCCAAATGATGAAACTGCATATGATACATTTGAAATTCTACGTGAAAACCTGGATGCTGTGCTAAAAAAGCTTCTGGAGGAGCAACCAACCAACAAATATCATGCTTTATCATCTAAAATTTGGCGAAATGATGCCATCACTAAGGCAAAGTATCTCTTCCAGTCCTGCATGAACTATGGTGAGACTCTACAGTAATTTTAATCTAATCCTCAAAGTTGTCCAAATTTCCAACACAGGTAGGCTATACATAATAGCTTGAAAATTTTCTGAAACATGAAGCATATCTCAAATTCGTGGAATTAAAACAGCAGTGGCCATACATAAATTGTGTACTATATAAATCACTTGTGAGTACCTGCCAAACAGACCAGAGACACAGAAAGGAAAAGCACCCAAACCAATTCTGTATAGATTATAGGAATGTAAGTTGACTGATAATCTGATATTATTTATCCAGTAATTTTATGTGTTGGCTAGAAACAACAATTTTTTCTCTTCTCCACAGCATCTAGACTAGTTCTGGGCCCAAACCCATCTCCTATTCAAAGGTTGCAATGGCCTCTTTACCTGGGAGTGTGACACTCACCTCTCACCATCTAATGCCGAGGTCAAGAATGGTGAAACTATCACTCCACTCCCCAACACATCTTCATGGTGTGGTGCTTAATTAATTAAGCACTTTACCTTTTCTTATCTCATTGAACTATGATCATGATTTCATCCTGTTTTATTTTTTTATTCCTTTTAACATTTCCTGTCCGCCAAAAATAGTCAGTATATGCTTACCTGGTTATGGTGGAATGAGCATCATTCTGTAGCACTATCTTCATTGGTTGCAACCTGTTGCATGTTCCGGATATATTGTCACGTGTTGGGTAGGTCACACAACAAATAAACTTGGATATAGCGAATTTACCGTATTTACGCATGTATAGGCCGCACATTTTTTGCCAAAAATTCAAGAGGAAAACTGGGGTGCGGCTTATATTCGAAATATTCGAAATCACACTTCATTTAAAAAAATTATATTCATAATTAGTAATACAGGGTGTTCTACTCCTGAAATAATATTCCAAGAAAATTATTTTTTCTATAATTTCTGTCTGAAAATTGTGCTGCGGCCTATACACGCACGCGGCCTATACATGCGTAAATACGGTATTCCACTCGCTCTTACATTTACACAATTTACAATCTCCAAATAACTGCCATAGGCAGTATTACAATTACTTCTCCTGCTTCCATTCACTCTGGCGAATGTTAGACTTCAACTGCACTCGGCAACTTCATGATCCACACTGTGTCACTCCTGATCTCACACTATGGTCACATACTGCTCAGCTGGCTTTTTATACCGTTCCCTGTTGCCTCATGTTACCAGCGGTGTCCCCTTGTTACATCACATTGGGAAGTGCTGTTATGTCACCGTGGAGGAGGGGGACAGAGTGTTGACTGGCCTGTTACCGTAGCAGCGGCAGTTGCTCCAATGATGTTACGTCGCCACTGGAAGGGGGGGTGTCCTGCATAGTGCAAATACATCTATATATATATGAAATTAAGTTAACTGTCAACACAACAAATATGCTCACTTTTTAATATTCTTCAATTCAAGTTTTTATTCCTTTTTCGGTAACATAAGACCATCATCAGGCAGTTATACATAGAAACATGTATGGTTATTGGACTACCGATATGGATCCATACCAGTGCAATGTGTTGTATTATATACTAACATAAAATTTGCCTTAAGTTGATGTTAAGAATTAAAGTAGAAGATACAAAATAAGATAAAATACATGATATACCATATGACTTGTGGTATTTTTTATATTAAACTTACCTACTTTTGCAAAAAAAGGATAATCATGTACACGGCATAAACAGCAACTGCAGTAAGATCTGCAACATATGACAAAATTTTACCATATACAAGGAGAAAATAATGACTTACTGTTCCTCCCCTTGATTAGCTTTGTCAGCAAGTATATTGTGTGTGATTTTATGAGTAGCGAGAGATACAAAATTGCATTTGGAAAATCTGTGCACCTATAATAAGGATAAGTTAGTTTTACTAGTCCATGAAATGCTGAGATATGAGGCAAGATCCAATTGTGTGTTTACTAGATATCCTGGAGCAAAGAGCAGAACAGCCATTATTGAATCTGCTTGACCAACTCGGTGGCTGGCCAATGCTAAAGCCTGATTGGGACAGTTCACAGTTTGATTGGGTGCTACTCATGGCACAGTTAAAGCTCTTCGGTAATGATGTCCTTATCTCAGAGTGGGTTGGACCAGACATCAAGAATTCTGATGAGTATGTAATTCAGGTATGTTTGAAATTCATACTGCCACAATCTCTACTAACTCACTTGGTCCTCAGTTAAATGCTTTTTTCTCCAAGGCTTCAAACAGTATTATTTAAATTACTATAGTACTAAGACTACCTGAATATTTCCAGAAAGTCAGAGTTGTAGGTAGCTGTTTGACTTTGCATCGTTCCTATGTGTCAGGCTTAATAACAGGATAGCTCAGTCAGTAAAGTGACTGGCCCTACAGTGGATCACTAGGGCTCAATCCCCAGCAGGAGCAGGGATAAAGCAACTACAATGTGACCACTCACCCTCAATTAATGCTGAGGTTAGCAATGTATGGAGCCTTACATTCAACCCTCCAATTCACTTTCATGACACAGAGATAACTTCAGCCTCTTTCTAAACCACATTTGTTTAACAGATAAGCATGAGTATATACTTATCTGTAAAGTATATGTGTGTAGAATTTTGAAAATACAGTAAATTGGTTGGTGAGAAATATCAAGATATATATGACATCATTAAAAGAGTATTGTCACAATACTCGAATGTTATAATCAGTACCATAAATTGAAATATTTCTGATCTGAGGAACAGTACTGCCTTCTAGGATGTAACTCCATGTAGTCTGGCAGAAGTCCACACACTTTTCAGAGGAATGTACTGCCTTCATTTTAAGGATTTGATACTTGCTAGGCTTAGTCTTTGGCCCCGAAGGCAGAGGCATTCCTCCAGAATTTCAGGTAGCTACTACCAGACTTCATGGCTTTAAATACAAGAATATAGTACTCTTGATGGTCATTGCTGCGAGAACCTTAAATCAAGCAATCTGATATGACATTTTTCATCATAATCACATTTTTAAGTGAATCATTATAACACATTGTGTTATAACACTGCGAAGTGTATGGAAATTTTTAAAAGTAGAGAAGTGGCTGCATCTTACCATCAGCATCTGATAAACAGAGTGAAATCAGAAAGCAGAAAGCTTGCAGCTTGTTGAATCTACAGCTATTAGCAGAATGTATTTTCTCCCCTTGTCAAAGTAACGCCTTCTATTTTAAATGAAACATTGTGATACTTAAAATATGTATGCTATTTTATTCCCGTTTCAGTTTGATCAGACCAGCCTTGGGTTGCCTACAAAGGACTACTTCCTGCAGCCATCCAATAAGATGTACCTGGAAGCTTATAAGAATTACCTTATCAAGATTTCAACATTACTAGGGGCTCCTTTAGATGATGCAAGCCAACAAGCTGAAGCCCTAATTAATTTTGAGACTAGGCTTGCCAAAGTAAGTCACTATGAATATACTTTTTATTTTTTGAAATCTCAGAAATCTGAGAAAATTCAGCATCAAACAATGTACATTTGCTGGGCAGCACATGAGGCATGCTACAGTTCTGATCAAGATATTACAATGTTACAGATTACTTCAGCGCCAGATGAGCGTCAGAATTTGAGTGAGTTGTACCAAAGGATGAGTGTTGGAGAGCTAAGGCAACTTGTTCCTCAAATAGACTGGGTTCAGTATCTCAGTTTGGTGTTGGCTCATCGTGTTAGCATCTCAGAACCAGTTGTTGTCTTTGCACTGAAGTACATCCAGGACCTTGTTACTCTTCTTGGTAAAACACCATCAAGGTGAGTAAAACAAGCATTTTTGTCACTCTAGCTATGTCATACTTGTGAATATTTGTAATTATTCTAAAATACATTACTCTTGAAAATAAAATAAAACAAAAGGGAAATTACATTAAGGTCATATTACACATGAGACGAAAAAGGAAAGAACACATTAACTGAACAAGAATCTTACAGGAACAACTATGAATTGCAATATTATCTACATGATGAACTATTTTATAAGAAAATATTTGACAGTGTTTTCAATGAGCTCTGTTTGGATAAATGTTCCTTAATTTCAAATTTATTTACTTGAAATTGTCTTGCCATTTATTCTGTTCATCTTGACACTCAGAATTATGTACAAGTCAGCTAAGAACAGAATGGACACTTAACCAACAAAAATTCAGTCACAATGAAATCAAGAATAGGAAGAGCCATGCTTACAATGTTCAAAAGTGAAATAAATCTTCTATTATATTTCGCATATATTTGGGAGATGCTTAGTTTAAATCTCAGCTGGGACAGGCTATCCTGACTTAAGTTCTTTGTGATTTTCCCCCGTCTCTCCAGGCAAAAGATAATATTGTCATGTGTGTGAGTGGCTCTACATGCGGTGTTGATTGGTAATTGGATATTGACCACTTACAGGTAGTAACTACAAGTATCTATAGCGCTATCATTAATTCACACATTCTGCAATTTACTACATCATGCACTGTCTTCTCAGTCTGTTGTCTTCACCAGTCCTTGTATGGTAACAGCTTCCAACAGCGAACATTCCCCTTACTCTAGGTTCCTGAACTATCCCTGTACCTCAGCTACCATTTTGTAACAGCAAAGGCTCATAAGGACTGAACTTCAGCAGTCCTCTTAACTAACTCACTCCACTCCATTCCATTCAAATCAACTGAACTCCACTGACTGTCCTGTTTATAACATTTAGGCATGGACCATACAGAAAACGTTCTTCCTCTGTTGCTGTATCAATTGTTGCATGTGCAGCCATTGGTGCAGACCATACAGAAAATTCTGCTTCCCAGTTAGTCCATTGGTGTGTGTTAAGAATCTGTCACCTAGCAATAGGTATTGTTTACAGAGTCATTATTTAACAATGGATCTACATGCTACAATATTTTCATTGGGCCACAACCACTTCCTTCCAAATCCTTTTAACTAATTACAAACCAATCTGCCTACCAGGTGACACTGTATAGTCTGAGATACTGTCAGTGTTGTAAAATGAACCACAAAACAAATACATTTCTCAGAAACATCTGACTGCAAAGGAGTACTCGTATATGCATAACATACAATACTTATCCTGTTGAAATGTCTGAAACATTTTTTAGTTTGTAGGATTTGAGGTTCTCACAGCAGTGGTTATGAAGAGTGCTATCTTATGGGAAGTAATATTGTGTAGTTGTTGAAAGTCAACTGTCATTTCAAAGGAATATATTGCCTCCATCTTTAGGGTTGAGTAAGCCAAGCATGAAAGCAGGTGGCAGCCTCCTTCAAAACGTTGGTTTACTTTCAGTGAACTACATGGCATTATATCTCAAAAGACAGTGCTCTTCATTTTTTAATTTGGTGAATATTTGACATGATAAATGTATGACACGTCGATGTATTCAAATGAAATGCCAGTCCTAGTTGACAATTCAAATTCATACATATTTTTTTATTTTCTCAAGAAGCCCCAGGGTTTCAAATACATGACAGCTACATGGAACTTATTATACTATAACTACACAAGAATGACATGTCTTATATCATGTATAATGATCCATGGACACAAAATAAATGAAATGGACAAAAAGGTGATCTGATAGATGACATCCATGTAAGCACACATTATAACCACATGGTGTTCTTTCTTTTGTGTGTGATCTTGTGCACATATGTGTACGCGCACGCCACACCCACTTCACTGTTGCTTGCCAACCCTGCACAATTTCCAAATTAGCAGACAGCTGAATAAGAGATTCATTGATAATAAGAATTACTTTACTTAGTATTACAGAATTAATAAATTTTGAACATTGATAAATAAAAAATGAATGTGCATTCTTTACTAAAGCATTTCCTTGTGAATAAACTGCCTTTCATATAAGGCCTATTTTTCTCCCCAGTTGTGCAGCCTCTAATTTGGATTTTGATAACCTACCTACACATAGCCCACAAAAAGCTACGTATAGTTTGCCTGTGACTGAATATCAGCCTATTACAATGTAGTGATATAATGGTATGATACCTGACAGTTACTGAAAATTGCAGTGCCACAGGAAACTGATACCCACTTAAAATGAAAGGAAATTTATTATCATTTTTGGTTAACAATTAATGCACAATATAACAGATAAAGATGCTTCATTACTCATTACATGAAATCTATAACAGGAAATATATTTATATAGTCACATAATTTACACAAAACTACTAATGGCTTTTTGTGTGTTGTGTCACGTGCAGTTTTGACTGACAATTGATACGAGTGATACGAGTGTTCCTTGTTTTACTAACATACAATTTACAAATTCTAAATACAATGAAGTGTGTTAATTTGTATCTATTTTTCATTTAACGAAATCAATTTTCAGTACAACAAACAATTTATATTCATAAGATTTTCTTGCAAAGGCACAGAAATACATACACAGCATTTGAGGAGGCAGGGACCTATAACAAATGTTACAGACAGATGTTTCTCTCTGTGCATTGCACTGCATTTATCCTAACTGTTGCACAAACATTCAGTTTCTAGTGCACACCTTATTCCCTGTGTAGTTGGTGGACCTTCCAGTAAATTAATGTCATTTATTGTTTCTGCAACCACACCAACATTTAGTCTATATTTATTTTCTATCCATGAAGAGGAGTGATTGAGAGGCTTCATTGGCACAATAATGGAGCTACAATGTTGCAAGCTTTCATAAAATTCCTTGTAGCTACTGCTGTAAATTTAATAATTTCTGTCTTTTGCACTAATCTGTATGATAGTATGTCAATTATGGACATTCAGAATACTTTATTTCAGGACAGTAGCAAACTATTTGCTATGGAGATTTGTCAGGCACCGAGTAAGTAACTTGGATGACCGTTTCCGAGAAGCGAAGCAGCAGTTTTATTATATCTTGTTTGGAAGAGAACAGGCGCCACCACGGTGGAAGGACTGCATTTCTGAGGTGAACGACTACTTTGATATGGCACTGGGGGCCATGTTTGTAAACAAATATTTTGATGAGAAAAGCAAGAGTGATGTAAGTAATTTTGTACATTCCAATATGAAATAAATGTTATCTTTGTTGTCTAGTGATAATATTTATGCTTGTTATAAAGAACCCAGGTTTTGCACACATACAGAATGATCACTGCTCTATGAAATTTTATATTTTTCTTATATTTGATTTTTAATATCTCTACATATCATTCCATACTGGAACCAAATCTTGTTAAGTTTAATTTCCATATCCTTACATTGAATACAGAATGCATAACATCCAAGGAAAATTGGATATAAAATGGATGGACCTCATTCTTTAAACCCATAATGTCTGCATGTTCAGGTCAACTATCAGGAACATCAAGATGTCATTTCTTTCAGACTGTTGAGATGACAAAAGAAATTATGCAAAGCTTCCTAGAATTGCTCAGTGAAACAGACTGGCTTGATGAAGAAACTAAGGACATGGCTGCCCAAAAACTGAATGCAATGACGCTCCGGATTGGATATCCTGATTTCATTCTTAATCGACAACTCTTAAATGAACGATACAAGGATGTGAGTAATTATATGTATAAGAAAATATCTGAAATAAGTGTATTAAGAATGAATTCCTGATGATACGTGTGTGTGTGTGTGTGTTCACACATGCATATAGTAAGACTTAACACATTGCTGTGACCCTCAAATTAATTGCCTTGACACTCTCAAATACATAGATTTACCAAGTGTATTGGTTACTATGATGAGCACAAATGGATAGTCCTATAAGCTTATATGAGAAGGAAAAATAACGTTAAAACAAACAGGGATTACACAAAGTATTCTACTGAACCACAACAATAGTGACATGAAGTGAATTAAGACACAAAATGATCAGTTCTTAACCTGCACTAATTTGACAAGAAAACAACCCCAAGGATGTTAATTGGATCATGAATCTGAAAATTGAGTGTGGTACACAATTCATCATACTTACTTACTTACTTACTTACTTATGGAGCTGAGCCCTTCTTGAGAAGCCAAATCTGCAGCTACTCAAGAATTTCCCGGCATTTTATGGAACCTGAAGGTTCATTACCATGTTCACAAGAGCCCTCTACTGGTCCCTATCCTTAGCCAGATCATTCCAATCCATACCATCCCATCCTATCTCTCTAAGATCCATTTTAATTTTGTCCACCCACCTACGCCTTGGTCTTCCCAGTGGTCTCTTTCCTTTTGGCTTTCCCACCAATATCCTATGTCCATTCCTCGTATCCCCCATTCGTGCTACATGATCTGCCCACCTCATCGTCCTTGACTTGATCATTCTAATTATACTTGGAGAAGAGTACAAGTTATGAAGCTCCTCATTATGCAGTTTTCTCCAACCTCCTGTCACTTCATCCCGTTTCGGTCCAAATATTCTCCTCAATACCCTGTTCTCAAACACCCTCAGTCTATGTTCCTCCCTTAAAGTCAGAGACCAAGTTTCACACCCATACAGAACCACAGGCAAAATTATAGTTTTGTATATTCTAATTTTTATGTTTTTGGACAGCAGATGAAAAGGTTCTGGACTGAATGGCAGCAAGCATTACCTGAGTTCAATCTCCTCTTAATTTCCTCCTTAATCAGGTTTTGATTTGTTATCGTCGTTCCCAAGTGTTTGAACTCTGCCATATTTTCGAAGAATCTGTTGGCTATCTCTTTGTCATAAGTTTGCCCTGCATTCTGGTGATGAGACAGCAACATGTACTTAGTTTTCTGTGTGTTTACTTCTAGAGCAACCTGCTTACTTGCATCAATTAAAGTTTGTATGTTCCCCTTTATGGTATCTACATTATAACCCAGTAGATTCACATCATCAGCACAGACCAACACCTGATGTGTCCCATTTAATTTTAGTCCCACCTGGTTTTCCTGGACCTTCCTAATGGCATATTCTAAAGTAAAGTTGAAAAGGAGTGGCGATAAAGCATCTCCTTGTCTTAGACCATTCTGGATAGAGACAATTCATCATAAGCGCCAAATATTAAGGTTACTTATAATCTGTCTGACGTGATTCATTAGTGATAATTTTATAAATTTAGAATACCCTGAAACACAGGCATGAAAGGTATTAATGGTTAATTTGATATCATAATAGTAATATGTTACAGTATATAAATGCACTGCATACCCTGTACATCAAGACATGTTTTAATACTTTAACATAAATTTTAACATAACAGTACCAGTGTCATTAGGACATAATTGTAATACACTGTTATATATGGAGCAAATACAAAAGCACTGGCTAAAGCAAAACTGAGGATCCATAAGTATCAAAATATAGTTGTTTGTCATTGTTAGAGTGACCGCCTCTGTGGTCTAGTGGTCTAAGTTTCTGGCTACAGATCCAGAGGTCCAGGTTCGATTCCCGGCGCTACTAGATTTTCTGAGAAGTAGTGGGTCTGGAACAGGGTCCACTCAGCTTCGTGAGGATAATTGAGGTGCTATTTCAAGGAAATAGTGACTCTGGTCTAGAAAACCGAAATTAACGGCCATGGGGATTCGCTGCGCTGACCACATGACACCCTCTATCCGATAAAGTTGACACTAACTTCGCCGACAAGCGGCGGTCGCTCGGTCGGTATAGTTCACTTGCGGACTAAAACCACGGAGTTTGTTTTTTGTTGTTGTCATCATTATAGTATGGTATTAATGAAAATATAATAATAGCTCACTGAAGAATACTTTTACTAACCTGTCAACTAATGGTATGAGAATATTAATTAAAGATTATGCTGAGTCTGTGGTTCTGTGAATAGCTGTCACTCTGTAGTATGGTGAAAGCCCAACATTTCTGAGGAATCTTGTCTCTGTCTTCAAGGCCGACAAGTAATTCAAGCAAGAAACCAGTAGAAATAGGTGATTCAGCTTGTCATCTACTTCTGCTGGGTTCTTGCTTGATTTACTCTTCAACCCTAAAGACAGGAGTGATTTGTTCATGCAAAACATCAGGCTTTTTCCAAACTATATGGTGCTACAACACAGCAGACCATATGCATCTCAATTAAAAATTAATTTCGATTTCCTTTCCTTCAATATATTTTAGTACAATAAATAAGCAGGGGGATATATAATTTTGCTATGTTCTGTCACACCTGTATTATGTACTGAAAAAATGCATTTATAAGTCTCTCTTCTTAGTTTTTCTGCTTCTTTGTTGTCTGAAATAAATTATGTCTTTCCCTGTGACAGTAAAAGGTACTCATTTTTGTAATCATATTTGTCAGGTGGTGATTCGACCAGACCAGTATTTTGAAAACACGCTCAACATCCTTCAGCACCTGACAAGGGAAGAACAAGATCGCTTAGGCACTCCTGTTAACAAATCCCTATGGGACACAGCGCCAGCAGTTGTCAATGCTTATTATAGTCGAAATAAGAATCAGATAAGTAAGTATATATCATTTCACTTCAGTAAGTAATTAAACTTAACTAATAATCCAACATGTTCAAAAAAATTGTCATATTTGTTCATAGAAGAACAAATAATTTCCTATGAACACTTTCAGCATTTAGTTGTACCAAGAGAATGAAAAATTCTAAAAATATGACTAAATGCATATGAAATTTGAGGTTTTCATGCAAGTGAAGATGCATATTATGGTCTTCTGGGTTATGCATGGTCTAGTCTGGTAGGTGGTACATGTTTATCTGTTTCAGAGAAACATACTGCCACCAACTTCAGGTAGAAGCCTTCTATCAGACTACATAGTGTTATTGCCCCAGAAGACAACAATATGAAAATCTATTTCTTGGCCATAGTACTGAACTGAGAATTTTAAAGGTGTGTTTTATATTCAGTGTTCCCAGCAGGAATTTTGCAGCCTCCATTTTACCATCGCTTTTTCCCACGTAGCCTTAATTATGGAGGCATTGGTGTTGTGATTGGGCATGAAATAACACATGGATTTGATGACAAAGGCCGGTTGTTCGATAAGGATGGGAATTTGCATCAGTGGTGGCATGAAGAAGCTATAGAAGAATTTCATGATCGTGCTCAGTGCCTAATTGGTAAGTTCAATGATTTGCATTTCATCATCTGATATACTGCAAATGTAGACAATGACATGAATAAATCAAGTCTTTTAAATGAAGAATGTAAATAGTATCTTAAATATTTCGGTAATTTATCAAATATTATTTGAATCTTTTTGTAAGTTTTGAGGTTTTCACGGCGATGACAATGAAGAAAGTTGTCTTCTGGGTTTAGGCACCATGTATTCTTCGTTTTGGAAGAATACACGGTGCCTAAACCCAGAAGACAACTTTCTTCATTATTTGAATCGCTCATAATTTTGGCATCTTCTTTATATCATCCTGCACATTATTTTGAAATGTAAATTCTTTAAGTGTCCGAAGAATCGATTTTCCGAATAGTTGTTAGAACTGTGATGTGTTTAGTATCTTTAAGTCATAGAAGTTGTCCATATGTAGTTTGAAATAAATCTGTGTTATCTTATTCTATTAGGAAATGTCCTGAGAAGACTAAGTGATGTATTCTTTGCCTGATTACTCAGCAAAAGTCATTGGTCATTCACTGTTGTCAAGAAAATAAGACATCAAATAAAAGCTTAAAACTAAATTTTATCTCAAAAGTATACTAGTGGCATTTCCTCCACAACATATACCATAGTCATACTGCATAATCAGGCCTTCCTCAAACAGGTAGTGTCACTTCCTATGTTACAGGTTAATGATTATATACCTGTAACTTAATCAGAGACTCAACTGTACAAGTGAGGTGCAATCCTTTGATGTCAGACTGGCACTCAAGTAGAAGATCACTCAAAAGGCACATCCTGTAACTTATATCCCAACAAAGTATTGATTCACCTCAAATACTCCCCAACATTAATACTACACTGCAATGAAATTGTGGTTTTATTTACAGATCAGTACAGCCATTACACAGTGAGGGAGGTAGCAATGCATGTCGATGGTATCAGCACTGAGGGAGAAAATATAGCTGACAATGGTGGCATAAAGGAAGCTTTCAGGGTGAGAACCATCTAATAATAAATGTTTAAACAGATCCTAAGATCCAGAATAAATCATGCCTAGTATAGAGAATTAATAATGACATCTGTCTCTTTGAAAGAATTCCACAGTCAGGTTAAAGTCAAAATGAAAATAGAATGACAGACTGTATTAGTCACATCATGTTTTGACCTATTTCACAGACATCATTGTCATCATCATCATCAGCCGAGGGGCATATTTAAGTAATAGAGTTTTCAACCTATTGATCCATTTGTCGGTTCCTATTATTGAACCTCACACAAAATTTGACTTTATTATTATTATTATTATTATTATTATTATAGATGCATACTAATATTTCTCAGGACCATGTGCCTCCATCCTCAGAATCAGAGTTGAGTGTTGTGAGGATGTGGTCAAGGCCATGGTAGGGAGACAGGAGGTGGAGCCTCGTATGGACAAATAAGAATGGCTCTTATTAGAGACTACAATAATTCCTTCGCTGGAGGGGAATGGAACTGTGAGCTTAGCCTGGGTCAATAGAAACTGTAAACAAGAAATATGAGGAAGAACAACTCTTATTAGGGACCAGGGTAGTTTTGCCACAGGAAGGACATGGGATGTGAAAAAACTACTTTTTCCGGGCCAAGATTCAGGGCAAAATTAGACAAAGATAGCTAAAAGATCCTCCAAAAATGTGGCAAAGATCAGATACTGGGGAATGACAGTAACAGATCAAACTTTGATTCAGGAGGAAATTAAGAGGAGATTGCATTCAGGTAATGCTTGCTACCATTCAATCCAGAATCTTTTGTCTTCCCATCTGCTATCTAAAAACGTACAAATTAGAATATACAAGACTATTATTTTGCCTGTGGCTCCATATGGGTGTAAAACTTTGTCTCTGACATTAAGGGGAGAACACAGACTGAGGGTGTTTGAGAACAGGGTGTTGAGAAGAATATTTGGACTGAAAAGAGATGAAGTAACAGCAGGTTGGAGAAAAGTGCATAATGAGGAGCTTCATAACTTGTACCCTTCACCAAGTATAATTAGAATGACCAAGTCAAGGAGAATTAGATTGGCAGGTCATGTAGCAAGGATGGGGGAGAAGCGAAATGCATATAGGATATTGGTGAGTAAACCAGAAGGAAAGTGACCACTATGCAGACCAAGATGTAGGTGGGTAGATATTAAAATGGATAGGATAGGGTGGTATGAACTGGATTGCTCTAGCTTAGGACAGGGACCAGTGGAGGGCTCTTGTGAATATGGTAATGGACCTTTGTTAAGTTCTTCAGTAGCTGCACAACTGGAAGCTTCTCATGAAGCTTCTCCATGAAGTTAGTTAGTTAACCATAATTAAGTTGAGTGGGATTAAATGTGTGTCAAATGGCTGTAAGAAAAGTATACAATAATAAGAAAAGGTTTTTGATTTGTTTGTGTGTGTGTTGGTGCATGCATGCAACACTGCATTCATCTTAATATCAGATTGTAATTATATTGTTTTTCTTTATGTTTAGGCTTATCAGAGATGGTTGGATGAAAATGGAGATTTTAATGAGACACTTCCAGGTATAAATGCAACAGGAGATCAATTATTTTTCCTGAACTTCGCTCAAATTTGGTGTGGTGCAATGAGGCCTGAAGCCACACGTAATAAACTTCAGACAGGTGTCCACTCGCCTGGGAAGTTCAGGTTTGTGCAGATCTGTCCCTTTGAACTAAGGTTTTCAGTGCTTGGAATCTTTATTTGAGAGACTAACTGTAAATATTTATATTTTCAATGAATGTGCCAAAACTACACACTAGAATCTTCTTTGTACATAACAATAAGGAAAATATTCTTCTAAATTATGCTTCATTGCATATCATTTCCATTGAATTCAGAATGTCAGTTGGCAACAATTACAGGATATGATGGCATAACTGTCAAATGTGTTCCTAACCCTTTCTTCCCAGAAAATGAAACTGATTACATCTGTATTCATTTTTACAGGATATTTTCAGTTAAAAATTTGTGTGTGATAATATTTTAAAATATTCAGTACTTGACTACAACTCACATAACTGATTACTTGACATTTGTGTCACCATTAATTATAACTGAATTCTGACCAGCTATCCTGTGAATACCTGGCATGCAACAGTCTTTCAGTTTGCTAGAAAATGCATCTATGCATCTGAACATATATTAAATTTAAAATGCAGTCTGTTTGAAGGTTCTGAAAAATGTGACTTCTCATTACAAAGATAGATATTTAGCTACTAGTAAAACTGAAGATTCTTAGAATCAATGTTTTTTCAACTGCTAGGCATATTATCTATATTAGTAATTCCAAAATTATGAAGATTTTTCCTAAGGTGTGTGGTAGAATGTAAATTAAAATAATTTTACTAATGCAGAATTACATTACTCTTATATCATAAATTACAAGTGTTCCTCTTAATATCTTGTAGCTAAATTTGTTAAGAAAATATTGTAGGGTCACAGTGTTTATTATTTCATACTATTTGCTCTCTGTGATGTTTTTCAAGTATGTAACCGGAGATATAAAAGGTACAGATATTGGTAGAAACCATCTGTTTAATTCCAGAGTGATCTTTTTAACACAGATGTTTCCAGTACTTTAATTATAATTCTCAACAGCTGCACATGTAGGAAGAATTCCTGGTTCTGCCTTGTCATAATTCCTCATAACATGTTGATTATTTTCTGTGCTTTTCTATTGATTCATAGTGTCTACCTAGATCTAATAATCCAGTTCCACCCCTAAATGTAATAATGATACCAGGAATATGCTCTTCCAGTTACCATGGCAAAGTGACTGCAGACCAGTGGCAAATATATTTTGAACTATGTCCTAATTTTATGGGCAAGTAAATGTTAGCATTTTTTGTGAAGATCTGAATGTAACCACCATGCAAATAAGAGGTTGACTGTAATTTCTAATTTCAATGATTTTAGGGTGATTGGAACCTTATCCAACTCTGAAGATTTTGCATCTGTTTTCAACTGCAAACTTGGCACGCCCATGAACCCCATCAAGAAATGCTCTGTATGGTGATTAGGCTTCTGGGATTACAGCTATATAAGAAGACCCTTTGTGATTTACTTTATTAATATTAATACCTACGTCTGATCATCATTGAAGCAGTGTTGACTTAAATGTTAAGTCTATATTTTCAGTAAACCATCCATGTAAACATTTGGGCACTGGACTTGGGGTGGTGAAAGTTGCTCGACTCAGTTCTTGCCATGTAGAGGCATCCAGCACAAGGATTCCTACCTCCCTTTCAATTCCTCTGCCCCACACCAATGCTGACAACACAACTCCATCATCCTCCTCCTGGTACAAGAGCATACAAGAATTATAAACACACATTTTATATGAAGAAAATCTTATACCTAGAAACATGTAATTTGTAGTGGAATTACTATAAGGAGGTACTGACTCACCTTTGGATCTGGTGAGGGTACAAAAATTGGTTCACTGGGATATACATTTTCTTCACACCAGGTCATCTTTGTGCGAGTTTTGATGTCCACCTTTATCAGCTGAAATAATGTATATCTTATTTCACTATTGTAAATTATTTTCTATAAATTAATGAATGTCTACAGTTTCCGATATATTTCGGTTGAATATTTAGAAGTGTTCCATCTTTATGAGCTATAATTTATATTTAACACATTGAAAATGACCCTACTTTTAAGTTAATATTTGTAATCCTGTGAAGAGTAACATGGATATCAGCATATTGTTACTACACAGATCAGACTCTTAGATATTGGTGACAGTAGGAAGTCTACAGCCTCTCACTATCATTTGCTGATGGAAACAGCTGACCTCCCCCTCCTCCCACACCACTGGCTCCAGCTGGATCCATAATCGATTTCCAGCCAAGGTTTCAGTTCCTTAGAGAAGAGCCTCCTCAACTGGCCTGCCCATTTCCTCTTACTGACAGTCAGGTTTATTCACCCCTGTCAAGAGATTTCTTGTAGTCTTGCCTCAACACAGCATAGTCTGTATAACTGGACTACAATGCCAAAGAGCTTTGATCATCAAACAATGACACCAAACTGTGGAATATATTCATCTTCCATTAAGGAGAAGAAGTGTAATAACATGAACCAATCTGGTTGTAATTTAAAACAAATATTGTACACTGCTTTATAAAGAGACTTCTTGTAATAATTTTTAGATGTTTTCACAAATTAATGTACATCTTAGTATTAGTTAAAAGATATAATATTTACATCTGTGACATGGTAATAGTAGTTTCCACGTGTGTTGATAATATCCTTCTGAAGAGGGTCGTTTTGACCAAAACATGTAAAGGATGAAAAATTAAAGAAACACAACTTTTATCAATCACACTGGACGGTGGTTAAAAATCTTATATAAAATTGCCAAGTAAGCTTCTGGATTCTTTCTATGAAGAGGAGGGCAAGTGATGACAAATGATTATGGAGCAATGCTAGGACGGAACAGAGGATGTAAAGACATGAGTTACTTTTACCATGGAAATCAAAGGAAGCATAATCTCCTGCATCTAATAATAAATCAACAACAGGTATCACAAAATACATAACCGTCATATATTTTCAGAGTAATCATGGTTAATGAAGGATATTCTGAAGGTTACAGAAATTACATGCAAGAGTCGAAGACCCTAGAGATGTCAAACACAAGTAACCACAATGAATAACTAAATTTGTTCCTCAAATTTCAGTGCAAATTTTTATGCATGAGAATGACAGCAAAAGTAAAAAAGAAAGGTAAACCTGTCCCTGTAGCAGGCTGTGAAGGCCAATCGGGTTGTGAGATGTCAAGGCTCCCATATTTCTCTAGACAGTCAGCTTGCAGATGGCAATAAAGTTGTAAGCCTTATATGTTGGCTGCCCTTTACCCAGAGGGAAGATTCTTGGTACTCATTTCTGTTACAGGCTGAGTTGATCCCAGGGGCATAATGCAGCTGGAAGATTTAGGTAAATTGAAAAACAAATCCACCTGATCAGGAGTTGAACCCACAACCTTCCAGCTTGCAGCATAGTGCCTCAATCAACTATGCTACCATGAGAATGATAGTTGGTGTAATAATTGCTAGTGTACAGCTTATTATACAGTATCAGTGCAAATGTACAAATCAACTCTTTCACTTCTGTGAACAAGATGATTTGCTCAGAACAACTGATTTTTTCTGCTTTTGGGATTTGATGGTGTTAGTAAAAAGACCTCTTCTGGCATCCTGTGACAGTTCAGCTCAGTTGGTTTTTTTCTGCATGCCATGAAATTATAACAAGGCCAAGTTTTATTTTTTTAAACAGTTCATCTTTGTAAGGGTTAATGGAGCAATCAAAGATATATTTTCTGGACTTACTGTGCCTGGGTTATCTGCATCTACATCACATGAAATGGCATAAAAATATCTGTATGGCTGTCCAAGATATTTTTCGTAATAAATTCTAGGTGTTTCACATCCAAGATCACATAGAAGTTCAGGCTGTGAAAATATATTCCCATCATAGAGTCGATAAGCAGTAGCTTTGGCTCCCTGCAGTGTTACTAGGTTTGTCTCTGGAGCAGTGTCTGAGGAAACATTCTTCAGTGGCAATACAAATCGCAAAGGCCGACCCCTGAACATTCTGGCATAGTCAGGATTCTTCTGAATGCCCTGTGATAGGAAGTTACAATAATTAATTAAACAAAAATATATCCACTGCCTGAAAATATGTAATCAAATAGATTTAATCCTAAGGAAAATAAAGTTGGATATGAGGTTCCCTTGGTGGTGGCTATGAATAGTACTATCTTCTGGGATATAACATGTAGTCTTGTAGAAGTCCACTGACATATCAGAAGAATGTACTTCAACCAGCTTCACGTTGAAGAGAAGCCAAGGACCAAAGAGAGACAGAAAGAGGCAGGCAGCTAACAGAGCTCTGCTTGCCACATGCTTCTTTCTGTCTCTCTTTGGTCCTTGGCTTACTCTAAGACTCTGAAGATTTAAGCAAAATATTCCTTCTAAATGTTGATGGACTCTTACTGAACTATATGGCATTATGTCCTAGAAGATTCTATTCCCCATGAATGAAAGTAATCATGATGATGAAGAAGAATATGACATACTCTCATTGGCAGGATATGTACACAGAGTTGCATTAAATCCTGAGGTGATGCATGAGCATGCGCACACACACATATCAATGCACTTATGCATGCCCACATATGGATGCACTCACACACACACACACACACACATAGCGCCATGAACACAACTTGTCTTATAGAATAATTCAAATATGCTACAAAATAATATGATGTCCATACTGCCAAAAAAATACTTATTGAAAATGTATTGTAACTAGATATGCGAAATATTGTATTGCAAGACCCTATAAAATGTCCACAATTTCTATTCAGGAAAAATTATTTTGTCAGATACATCTTTCAGCACAAATCAATTATATATTTCTTAACTTTCACATCAAAGTTTAGAAATCAGCCACCAGTACTAACAAATATTCATAATGTATCAGGAATAACCAACAACACTGTCTTGTGACTTCTGTGTGCAACCTAATTATATATAAAACAGGGTTCTTGTTTTAAAAATATGCAATTACCATCAAAGCTTCCACATACATGCAGTCCAGCATAGTGGGATCTTTGTAACAGCATATGTCAACAATTAGATGATTATCTTCTTCATAAGAGTTTATAATATGAAGGTAGAAGAAAGCCTCTGCAAGAAATATCTTAAACAACTGACCATCTTTTCTCTGCATAAGAAGAATTTGGGTCTACAACAAAAAAGAGAGAAAAAAAAACATTACATATATATTATGTGTTCGTGTTTCTGTGTGCCTGTTTGCGCACTCTCTCTCTCTCTCTCTCTCTCTCTCTCGCTCTCTCCATCCCCCTCTCTCTTTATGAAGTATAAGTGAAAGATATATAATGGGACAGTCTACACAACAATAGTTCTGAAAGATACAAATAGACACTACTGTGTCAACAATTGTTTTATTAGCTGTTGATGGTAACACTATATATATTGACAGGTACTAGAACCTGCATTCTTGTATACCTGAAGATGACCCAAGAAAAGGGGGTAGCATTACCACCAACAGCTAAAAAAATAAATGTTGACACAGTTGACACAGTACTGTCTATCTGTTTCTTTCAGAACTATTGCTGTGCAGATTGTCCCCTTATTTTATTCTTGTATTCTATAAATACTGGTGAGCTGGGATAGCACAGTTGGTATAGCAACTGGCTATGGGCTGGACGACTGAGGGGTCAGAGTTCGAGTCCAGGTAAGGTAAAGAATTTTCTCTTCTCCAAGTCGTCCAGACCGGCTCTGAGGTTCACTCAACTCCCTGTCCAAAGGGTACTGAGGGCTCTTTCCCCAGCGGTAAAGCGGTCAGCGTGAAGCTGACCACTCACCCATAACTAGTGCCAAAGTCAATAAAATGTGGATCTATACATCCAATCCCCCATACACCTTCATGGCACAGTGCTTAATTAGTTAAACACAGGGACATCTTTACCTTTACCTTACCTGTTCTACAAAAGCTGCCACACTGTCACTCTCTTCATAAGGGAAACCAAACAGCAGAGCTTTTATTGTGTAGCAGTGAAACTGGTGATAAAGAAACTATGTAACACAGTATTCTTTATATTATAGAAGAGAGACTAAGCTGTTGTGCATAAATATGATCACATTTTACATTAGTGGTCAGAAAATATGTTTCTTCTACTGTCATTACTCTTGTCAAAAACATCACTACCTCCCTTAACTGAATTATTGAGCCAGTATCATATGGAACATGTGTTGAATGTTTAGGAATAGGAATAGGTATTTTGCAAAAATTTTCTAAAATGAAACATTTCTAACACTCATTCAATATTACATTGGATCAATAATTTTGTAAATGTACAGACTCCAATGCATCCCTACTTTTGACATTATTTGGGCTTATGATGTCCACCAATTATACTCATGAGTCGTGATAGCTCATTTAAATATGGCTGACTGGATAGACGAGTGCCATCGTAACTAAAACCTATGACAATAATACGAAACATACATCTGTGAATAACACAACTGAAAGTGAACATCAAACCAGCTTAATTAACAGTGTCTCCTGCCGTATGAAAAGTGCCTCTGATGATGGTTTTAATTAAACTGAAACATGTAGGCAAGAATAATAAAAGTGATGTGACCTCTATTGCCGCACTGGACAGAAAATTCTATTAACTTTCTAACTTGATAGTGCAGCGGACCAGAATGAGACAATTCAAAATAAAGAAATGATTCTCTTCTACACAACATCTGTATTGGCTCTAGGGTCCACCCAGCCTCCTATCTAATCACTACTGGACATTCTGCCTCAAATAAAGCAGCCTAAGAGTGAATCTGACTACTCACCTTCATCTATTGCTGAGGCCTAAAATCCTTTATATCCATAACTCTTACATGTGTTCAGGTACAATATGAGCTTTACCTTTACTGAATTTCTAAGCAAGTATTTTTGTATGATAATGGTTATTCATATTGCCATCCTCATTAAAGCAATACATATTTTCAAGACTTGAAAGAAGTAAATATCAATTTAATCAACAGGTTTTCTTTCAGCCCCTTCTATCAGAAAAATGAAAAATGAATGTACAGTTCTTAAACTTACTTGTTGGTCTTGGTACCATCTGAAGCTTCCTGCCATTGGCTCATTCAAAAGATGATTTCGTACCATGGCTGGCACAGATACAGACAATGGTTGCTCCACTATCACAAAGTAGTTTTCAGTAGAACCAAAAGTATGCATGTAGGCAGGATGAAGTGGCCATCTGGCAGGTATTGAGCCTATAATCCTAGCTTGTTCAAACATACTCAGTCGTTTATTGGAACACCCATCACCTGATTGTGGTACAAAAATTATTTTATTGAATATGAGAAACATGAAAAATACTTATTTAATTTTAAACAGAAATTATTAGCTTTTTGGGTGGGGGGGGGTACACTGCGTAGGGACAGGAGAACAGGGCAGCTGTCCCTGGGCACTGAGCTCCATCTGTGTTGAATAAAGTTTCTAAACTTGAAGTCATTACTCATTTATAGACAAACCAAAACAAAACCAAAACTAAACCAACCAACCACATACCTCTTCCTCTTATGCTCACAATAGCTGTAACTACTCAGAACAGCTACAAATGTATGTCAACAGTGAATAACTGAGGACCCATATCTGAAAAATGTACATGTCATTTTCAGTACTATTTGGACAAATAACTAATCACTCTCTTCAGATATTCCTAGTTTTACGAACACTAATTCACAAATTTTCATTAGAATGAACAATTTACGTTCATTAGAACTTTTTTTGAGGGCAGAGAAATACATACACAACATGTGAAGTGGAGTGGGCTTGTAATAAATTTTACAGACATTATGTTTTTGTCTGTAATATTTGTATACTGCATTTATTGTAATTGTTGTGCAACTCTTCAGCTTCCAGCATACATCTTTTCCCTTTTGTAGTCAGCAGACCTGTGAGTAAATTAATACCGTTTACTGTTGCTGCTACCACGCTGACATGCAGTCTATATTGGTTCTCTAGTCATGAAGATGTGCGATTGAGAGCCTTTGTTTACTCTACAAGGAAGCTGGATTATTGCGTTGCATCAGCTATGACAAAATAAATGTAAATAAAATAATACAGTTATATTTGCAACATTAAATATCATAAACAAATAATATTGTTATATTTTAGATGCTTATTTACTACTAAAACACACGTTAAAATGTTTGGGGATTTTTATGAGACTCATGAAAGAGTTGGCAACTTACATATAAATAAAACGGAATACAATTTTTTATTTATGAATTTTCACCTTATGAAGAGTTTTCATGGAATGAATTACCAAATTGAGGGATACTAGTAATTAAGTATTCAACTAATTAAGTAAATGACTTGAGTCAATTACTTGAGCTGAGTTGGGTAATGTGACTCAACAAAACTCAGTCCACTAAATGAGTGACTATCTCACTGCATAACTAACCAGCTAAGGAGCTAACTAATTCCAGTAACAAAACCCCATGATTGAACACAGCACACACCCATAAAGTTCTCAATTCTTGTACCACTGGACAAAACATTTTCCATAGCACCCTGCATTCAAGAGCATTATGCACTACATTTTGTATTTCCACCGCAGATACAAAAAACTCTCAATATTATTGCTTTTTAAATGTCAATTTTTAGCTGGATTCAGAAAACTGACTAAACAATGACTACTTAGGAATTGAATAGTATTAGTAACAAGGATTCTGTGAATTTATTTATCTTAATTTCACTTAGTAGAATACTGCTCACAAGCTCAGTTTGGACACATTTATGTACTACATAACCTAAGGAGACAAGCATGCAGATTCATTGCTAAACTAAGGTGCTTACTACAATATAGCGAAAACAATTACAATTATGACAGAGACATGGACACAAAAGTATATACTGTACTGTCAGTATGTGAACTGTCATATAGGGAGTGTGTACCTACCAGCAGACTTGACATCACAAGTTGGTGGGAACTTGATAATTGCGTAATGGGGTCCGGTTACTGATATTGACATTCCCAGGTTGTACACTGTGCCATCATCCATCACATGTGGGTGTGATGTATGGTTTACAATCCCCACATACTTGGAAACATTCACCTGAATGCCAACAAATTAAATAATATGCGATCAGGGTGCTTTAACCAAGGGGACTCATTAAATAGTATAGTGGTGGAGTCCAGAGGTATTCTCTGAGATCCTGCTCAGATTTGAATATCGGATGTCCCCTCTGGAGATGACTGGGATTTCATGACAGTACTTTAATCCATTATATTTTAAATAAACACAGGTGATATTTTCAAGGACAGGCTGTAATATAAGAACAGCATAATATTCTTTTGTGAATAATTTTTGCGGGGATAAGTTTTGATGATCTGAAAATAGAATGAATTATTATGCTATTTAGTATCATTTTCTTAAATGAAAAAGAGGTTTATAGCACCGAATGATGTGGTAAAGTCAGTGGCTTTATAAGGACGATGAAGGGAATGGTCATATCCTATTTCAAGGTAGCTCTCCGACAGTTATCTACAGATATAAACACAAACACAGAAAATCACAAACTCAGGATAGCCTGCAACCTGGCCGAGATTCGAACCGGTTGCCAGCCGAATACAAGTCTGTTGACCAAAGTACCATGGAAACGAATGACGAGCGTGTAGGTAATGCTCAGAATCTGGGCGGACCACCATTCTGGTAGGGACGATTTGGTGAAGACAAATATCTCTGCCCACATCAGGAAATGAATCCCAGCCTTCCATCTCATAGCCGGTTACTTTGCAGTTCGAGGCATCTGCCCTAAGAATGTTCATAAGTTGCTAAATTATGTAAAGCACATGTCCATTCATCTTTACTTGTGTTTGTGCAGTATTTCACATTCAGTCATGTCAGTAGACATAATTTACGTTCATAAATCGTGGATAGTGTCTCGTGAATAGGCAACCGATTCTCTCGAAAACCAGCTTGTCTATATTGTGATTTCGTGAGCGTTTAATGTTATCAACTGCAAGAAAATTACAGGCCTTTAGCTCTGCGAAAATTTAATATTTCGAATTATCTTAGGTCCCTTGCGTGCAGCCAATTTCAGAGAAGCCATTATTGTTTTTATATAGCCGTATTGTAAAAAAAATTCATTGGTCTCCAGGTCTTGGGTTACTCGAAAGCTGGGACCAAAAATTTTATTCCCGTTCGGGACTTCGATATTATTCGCATTATTCTGTTATCATTTGGTGTTCTGCGGAGATGAATACTTTGCAAAATGACTACAGTTTGACTGACGATTTCTTAGTCTTCTACAATGGCGGAGACCGAGGTTTGGGAGTATTTTGCGTTAATCAGCGGCTCCAAAGCTGGAAATTCGCCCCGTGGCGAGGCGTGAGGGCATTCTAATGGGTGTGGGGCGTCCCGCCATGAGAAAAATATCACACTTTTATGTCAAAATTCAGCTTAAATACTGAGTTATTATCTGATTTAGTAATATCTTTCATTAGCAGCCGTCAGAATTACTAATCCAAATATTAAAAAAGTAAAACGATCAGATTTCAGCATCTGTCCACATTAGTCATCGCCAAACGAAGAGGATCGTGTAGTGTATATATTTTTAAATCTAATTTTTACTCAAATTTGTTTTTGACACAGGGTGTTGTGGTCCCCATACTACAATTAATTTCCCTGATTTCAGATATCAGTAATTAAAATTTTTGGAAATGAAAGTGTCCTACAAAAAACCATTATAAGTTAAATATTCTAATCATCTGAATATGCTGGCAAAATAAGTTCACGATACTATTGGCAACATTTGCGGCAAGTTCGATTAAATTCATTTATACAGATAATGGCTTTACATACTGCTGCAACAAAAAATAACTTCTCACGACAGTTAAACATATAGCTGACATGATAAAGTGTGTTTAATATTGTCACGTGTGGGAGGGCAACGTGACTAATAATCGTGGATTCTAGATTTGATGATCAGGTTTATTTGACGTCATTATTACAGTCACACTGGGTTGTAACAGTTCACACACTTTCTGTGTTCTCTCATATTCTGGTTCTTCTTTCGACTTCACTTCTGGACTTACGGCAAGTCACGATCACAGTCACAGTCACAGTCAAAGCCACATTGCGGTTGACGCTAGGTCGGTCGGTCGGTCGGTCGGTCGGTCCTGGTGTCGAGCCCCAGATTTATTATTGTTTGAAAATTACGGTATTGTTTTTGTGAGGCGCCCCCTCTGACGAGAGGACGGGTCTGTCTTTTGTACGTGCTGCTGGCCTTTGTCAGCGCAGGCTTTCTCGGGTCCGTGTTCCTTGGCACTAGCAACCATATTTTACTGTCTCAGATTTGAGACTTCAAACTGACGGCTTCGCCACTGGCCTCCTTTTATCCCTGCTAGGTGGCTGGGATAGGACTCGCCTTCTTAAAGTGTTGTGTTTTTCATATCCGCGGCAACAGTCGGTTTTAGAAGACGTTACTGTGCAACCTATGATACGTTGCTGTGGTTATCAGCTTTCAACAGTGAAAATGTGAACCATAGTAACTAGAACCGTTTCGCAGCAATGTAGTGCCTGGGAATACGTTCGCCCAGCCGTTGGCTGGCAATGGACGCCGGGCTCCGACTCCGATACTCCGGCTTGTAAGCCGCGCGTCACAATATGTTTTACAACTTTATATGACTTTGTTTAAAACATATAGCGTAGTTGGTTGGGGCGCTATGCTACAAGGCGGAAGATCGCGGGTTCGATTCCCAATGAGGTCATTTTCCAATTTACCTAATCATTCCAGCCGCACTATGGCCCTGGGGTCGATTCAGCCTCTAACAGAAATGGGTACCAGGAATCTAAGTGGGGGTAAATGGAGGCTGGAGCTTCAGGCTGGCAACCTCACCGCTGTCTGTGAGCCGATTGCCTAGAAGATGTAAAAGGCCCGACGTCTCGCAATCCTATGGGAATTCACAGCCTGTTACAGGGATAGCTTTACTTTTTTATCACCTTCAAGAGGCGAAAGTCAATTTGTATTAAAAACATCGTGTGACCTGTACTGATTGCATTTGTTTTGCACGGTTGAGAATGAATATCCTCACTCACCCTGTCCAAAGTGTCTAGCGTGATGGGGTCAAAGCGGTGAATCACGGGATACTCTGTAAGGGCGTAGAGTTCGTCTCCGAAAGGATACACGGAGATCATCGCGTTGTCGGAAGTGGTTTCTCCAGGTGTGAACAGGGCTGATACCCTGCATGCGAAACAATTCAAAGAGTCAAGCGTTCACAGTCTTCTTAAACTATTTAATGATACTTTCTCAACTGCACAGGTTTTACAATGTTGAGTAGTAGGATGATTATGAACGTTGAATTTTGGGAAGGATATGAAAATTTGACCAGTTATCCTCTCTCCTGGCACTTGCTTGGAGAGACTGAGAAGAATCACAAACGTCCTGTTGGGATGACTGCTCGGGTAAGGAATCGAAAAAGGAGCTTTCCAGATACAAATCAGAAGTACTAATCCCCCTGCCTTGATGATAGGTTCAAGCATTTTAAACAAGTCCTTCAAAGTGGCGAAAATGATAAATATTATGGGGGTGATTCATCTGTTTGGCCGAGTGAAGGATGGCTATGTAAGATTTGAGGTTTTCACGGCGGTGACTATGAAGTATGCCACCTTCTGGGATGTGGCGCCGTGTAGATCTTGTGTAAACCGACTGCGGACTGCAGCCACCTGCTCACGCTGGTTCCTCGCTCGCAGATTTTTATACCCTGAAGATGGAGGCGATATGTTCCTCTGAAACGTCGGTTTACAGAAACTCTACACGGCGCCACATCCTAGAAGACGGCATTCTTGAAGGATGGCTCTTTTATGCACATCTGAAGGCGCAACAACAGCAACTATTGTAGGGCTCTCTTCTATTAATAGCCTAATTGTACTTGCTCGAAATGATGCTTCTGTTGCACCAACGTTCTCTAAACTGAAATATTTGAGACTAAGGGCACAAAGAATAATGCGATCAATGTCCAAAACGGCCTTCTGATACCTTCATAAAAAATACCATTTTTTCAGACTATGATAGATTTAAAATTCCGTGCCCACTGTTATGTTGATGTGGGGGCGTAGTTCTTTTCGGGAATTTGGATGGGGTATTCATGTCGTAGGATAATTTTCTTGTGATTTGTACATTAATTTTCTCTAACTCCTTTGCCCTATCATAATAAATTTAAGCTACTATTTCCATTTTAAAATTCTCGTTCGATTTTCACTGAGGGAAATATGCCTATGTTCAAACCTGTGCAGAATTATCCGTGGACGAATGGGACTGAGAAATACAATGGAAAATCCAAGACAAATTCGAAAAGAGAGCCATATCAATAATTATTTATATTCATTCACTTACTTACTTACTTACTTACTTACTCACTCACCATGGAGCTGAACCCTTCTGGAGGAGCCGCCAATTCTACAGCTACTCAAGAATTTCGCGGCATTTTATGGAACCCGAAGGTTCATTACCGTGTTCACAAGAGCCCTCCACTGGTCCCTATCCTGAGCCAGATCAATCCAATCAATATCATCCCATCCTATCTCTCTAAGATCTATTTTAATATTGTCCACCCACCTACGTCTTGGTCTTCCCAGTGGTCTATTTCCTTCTGGCTTTCCCACCAATATCCTATGTGCATTCCTCGTCTCCCCCATTCGTGCTACATGCCCTACCCATCTCATCCTCCTTGACTTCATCATTCTAATTATACTTGGAGAAGAGTACAAGTTATGAAGCTCCTCATTATGCAGTTTTCTCCAACCTCCTGTCACTTCATCTCTCTTCGGTCCAAATATTCTCAACACCCTGTTCTCAAACACCCACAGTCTGTGTTCCTCATTCAGACCATGCAGAAAACATTATTATTTATAAATCGATAAGTTTAATGCAAGATTGTGAACGTGTATGAGTGTAAAATTTTCAATGATATTATCATATCAATGATATGATACCTTTATATCTTTATATGAGGTGTTACTGCCGAGATAAGTTCGTTTATTTGTGTGTTATTGTGGTACGAGGTAGCACAGGTGAGTGAGTAATGCCAATCATAAATTTACATATAAATTTAATCATACAATTGTAAAATTCTTGATCTTGATCGTAAACAGCATGAACTTGTGATATCTACATGTCTTTCAAGAACTATAAAGAACGCTGTTCTTTAGTATTCACATCATTTTGTCTTTATACCACTTATGCATTATGTTCCCTTTTAACAGTTACTTATAACGGAGTCGTGTACCTTTGAAAAATGGTTTGACACGGATCAGGCACTGCTTTTGTTCCGAATTCTGTTACAACTATCCTCTGGGCAGCCATATTACGTTTGTATGTCTGCGTCTTAAGGAAACGGGACTGGTATGTCACATGGCCCCCATCAATGGCAAACCTGAAAGCATAAGAATGGGAAGATGTACTCCAGTGGAGTACCAGATCAAAGACGGAGAAAAGTTGACTAAGGTATTTTATAGTAAAAAGTAAAGCTATCCCTGTAACAGGCCGTGAAGGCCCATAGGGTTGTGAGACGTCGAGGCTCCCACACTATCTAGACAATCGGCTCAAACATGGCAGTAAGGTTGTCAGCCTTACGCGCCGGCCGCGCTTTACTCCCCAGGAAAATTATTTCATTAATTCCTGGTACTCATTTCTGTTAGAGGCTGAGTAAACCCCAGGGCCTACTGCGGCTGGTAGGATTAGGTAAACTGAAAAAAATCCAATGACCTCATCGGGACTTGAACCCGCGACCTTCCGGCTTGTAGCATAGCCCCTCAACCAAATATGCTACCACGTGCCCCCGAGGTATTTTATATACATGATAATAATAAAAAAATAAAACGGAAGCATAAGTCGTCGCAGAGACGACTCCAAAATATGCTGCATTACAATTTAGTAGAATTACTGGTTGGGGCAAAGAATTATTTTTTTAAGAAAAAACGGCAGAAATGGACATTTCAGTGGACATGAATATAACTCACATGTTGTGTATATACGTACATGCACCAAACGATTTATTCAGTTCACCTGATTCCTTACAGAGAAAAATATTTTCCATTTTGAATGTTAAAAATCTGCATTGTATTAATTATTAAATCCTATATTTTATTTTATCGGAATCAAAGTTTATAGGACCCTCATTTTCTTGGTTTAAGACTTGAATCCGTCTTTCTTCCTTGGCAGATGACCGATGCTATCTTGTTACATGAGAGGCCACACATTTTCAAATCTCTGTTATATCAACTCAAAGGGCTGAAACAGGTCTCTCTATTTTTGTGCACTAAACACTGAAGTCCTTTCCAAACAAGTTATCTAAAGGGTTTTAATCAGACGGAATCTGGCATCTATTCTGTGAAATTGACACATTCAACTTCAGAGTTACATACGACACTTTGAAAGAGTGGGCAGTATGGATGTATTTTTAACGACCATGAGAAACATGTTTCTGTATAATGAATGAACCGAACTGAATACATCTTCTTGTGCGTATACTTCGCGTTGCTATGCATAACTTACTCGAGTTTCATTCACATCCGCAAAGCCGTTCATTTGCACCATTATTTTCAAAGAAACGTTTTTCCTTTTTGCTACTCGGTACATGAATCAGCACACTGATTTACCACTGACACCGAAGCCGGCATACATATCACAAAATACATGCTACAGTGTATCAGAAGTGTGACAGAAATTCCGGGAGATTTTTCAGATATTAGGTGGCCGTAGACACTGCACAAAGAGATTTTGTGACAGTTTTTATCTGCGAAGGCCCTGATCCGTGGAGATGAGTGAGTGTGTATGCACAGACTCCACGCCTGCCAGGAGCCATTCAAACTTTCCCACAGATTTTAATTGTAATTCTTAACTTTGCACGCCACACATCCAAGAATTTGGAAATGTTAGAACAGTGAAGGTTTCTAGAATGAGGCTATTCAGTGTTTTTCTGAAATGTGCATGATTAACGGTTTCTCTTCACATACTGAAATTTTGAACCCACTGGGAACATCGTCACTAAACTGCACCATGACACAGCAAATATCGCCTCTGTTGAGAAGACACAGCGGGTCACATCTGTGGCAAAGTTCACGTCCGCAGACTTCTCGACGGCTTTCACCTACTAACACTTTGCTATAACCGTAAAGGTAAAGGTAAAGCTGTCCCTGTGCTTAACTAATTAAGCATTACGCCATGAAGACGTATGGGGGAGTGGATGTATGGATCCATGTTTTCTTGACCTCGGCATTAGATGGAGTTGAGTGGTCAGCTTGACGCCCTGGCCGGCTGGGTAGGCCCCAGAGCCGGTCTGGACGGCGTGGAGAAGAGAAAATTCTGACCCTACCGGGACTCGAACTCGGATCCCTCGGTCGTCGCTATACCGACTATGCTATCCCGGCTCCCCTATGCTTTAACGGTAGCACAACAAATCCGTGGTCCTGACTGCAGGTTCCTTATTGGCTGACGACGGTTTTGACCCGTTGTGGACTTTAATTGCAGATTTATCTGCTATGGTATAAGTCCACAGATAGAACCGTGTGAGTATGGCCCGATACTGAATGTGACTCGGAAAATTCGTACGAATGATTTCCACTCTTCAGCTAGATTACAAATGCAATATGACAATTGTTAACGAGGCAATACAAAAGTGTGTGGCAAAATTACGCCGATGGTCTTCAATATATACAAAAGGCTCTACACACAAGTCTACAGCTTACAGCTTACAGCTTACTACTAGTTGCAGTGTAGCAGTTTTAGCAGAGTGAGACACCTGAAGGTGACAATTTAGGGCAGAAACATGTTGTGTCGAGAGTGAAAGTGTAAAAAATAAGGAACAATCTGTTGCATTTTTGACGGACTGTGTAGTGCATAAAAAGTTCTAGTAAGCTATAAACTTGCAAATGTAAATAATTAAATTACGAGTAGCTTAGCAATTCGAATTCTCACAAGTATCTAAAAAAAATAACAAGTAATAAATAATTTTCTTAGAAAACGTCGCTATTATTCACAACCTAAAATCTAAACGTCTAGAACTCCTCGGCACTGGAAACACATACGGTTCATAGAACAGAAATTACTACTTGCTCTGTGATAAGTGAGCAATTCACAAACTACTGCAAATATTTTAAAGTCCTCGGGGTCACCCAACAGCGCTTCCAAGGGCAGCAAGATGGCAGCAGATAAACACCTGACGATTAGATTGTACACAGAGAAAATGAGACGGCTAGAGCATAACAGACAGGAATTCTTCAGGACGCACGCAAACCCACACACTTCTACACTGCTTACTCTGCGTTATGTACGAGAAGAAACAGGAGCCCCAGAGGGCCGTAAGTTGGTGACATCCCAGAATCATCAGCTGACACAATTATTTTCAGAGGCCATTTCAAAGTCGTGAGCTGTACCTACAATTCAACCAATTTAAAATGAGAGCAATGAACCATGCCTAACCTGTGCAAAAGTGCGGATCCATCAAACAGGTGTCCAAATGTCATATCTCCTACTTTCAAACTACCAGGTCCATTTCGTAAAAGTGACCCCTTTAACCAGTACGGAATACAGCCTGCAACACACAATTGTCACAATTTAACGCCGTGGACTGGATTCTCTCAGAAAATAAATGGTTAAGAATAAGGATATTTTTGCATATACAATTAAAGATCAAGAGATCGTTGATTGATTGACTGATTGACTGACTGCTTGACTGATCGATTGATTCTTAAGTTATTTACCTACGACGTTTCAATGCACAAGTTATATAACAGTGACTCGTACAAGATGATCGTAAATGGTAAATAAAAACTTGTGGAAGAAACTACCATAGCTTGTTTAAGGATATATCTGCTGCTCTAATACTTGTCTGGCAATACTACAAACATTTACGAGACATAACGAGATAACCAGTCAGACAGATGCGAACCGAGCACTTCCCTGTATAAATACGTACATGGCTTCTTCGCTATACCAGTCTACTCTGTAGAGACGACAGTAGCTTGTTTTAATAACAGAACTGATGGATATGAATAGAAATTGTTACACCTTTACCTCCCCATCACATAGGTCACATTCTAAGGATCAGGAACTGCGATTTTGAAAAGCTCGTTCCTCAGATAAGCTAGTAACAACACATTTTGGTAAAGGTAGAAGGTGAAGTTATCCCTGTGCTTAAATAATTAAGCACCACTCCATGAATACATATGAAGAAGTGGATGTATAGATCCACGTATTCTTCATCTGGACACTAGATGGAGGTGAGTGATCAGCTTCACGCTTTACCCCCGGGAAAGAGCCCGGGGTACCCATTTGATAGGAGGCTGCCTGGGCCCCAGAGTCGGTCTGGACAACATAAAGGAGAAAAAATTCTTGCCCCCCTTGGAACTCGAACCTCGACACCTTGGTCGTCCATCCCGTAGCCAGTCGCTATACTGACTGCACTATCCCGGCTCTTTTGGTAGCTATCGTAATTATTACGTCAGGTTTGACCTCCAATTGGCTATAGTTTTGGAAACAATCCCGACCAGGACGCAGATGAATATTAAACGCTTCTTCTTCCGAGCCTCCTCTGTTGAATGGTTTTAGTTTTAAATGCATTAGCAAAATCAACTTCTCCTGATCTGAAATTCTTTCGTGGCATTTAAGCAATTGTACAAGGATTAGAGTCGATATACGTATATGATAGCAATTTCTTTTTACTAAAAACTAATAATGGAATAGGGTAACTAATACAGACTCCTAATCAATCGATCATTCATTCAATCCAGTGGCAAACATAAACAGAAAAATATGACTGATGATGGGAGACATTCATATATCAGGCTTACCTGTGATTTTCCCTTCTAGTGGCTCCACGACCTCCTGCGAACAAGATCTGAGCCATACTGACGCATCGCAGAAAGGATACAGGTCCTCACCCGTCTGCAGCTTCCTGAGTAGACTTGCATCACGGTCAGAGCAAATGCTGTCAATTCCTTTAACTTGGCCACTTGCTTCTTCAGAGTCTCCTGACAAGAAGAAACACAGGTAGTTGCGGCAGCTCGGACTTTCAAGGCGATGTGTTCTAACAATATCTCTGACAATCGGACAAATGTATCCTTTTCTCACTATTCTACGGACGTCAAAGTAGTACAAAAATCTGCAGTCTAAGATGCGATTCGAAACTGGAGTCTCCGGAATATAAATAATGAATAATGACACTGGGTTCTTAATTGCCTTTTTGCACCCTCAAGAACAGACATCTCACACCTCCAGTGTGGTTCTTCCGGCTCTTACATTAACATTCTTCAGTGAAAAAAGAAAAAAGTTTTCTCAATTCAACACTACTTTCTGAGAAGGCATCTTCAACAATATGACAGTGGAGGCAGGGGAAGGGATTAGCATTCCAAACTACAATGGCTTATATTTCACTTTCACCCTATCGAACTAACTTTCATAGTTCTTTTGAAAACCCTTTTTCGTTACCGAATGCCACTATGTAAATTAGTAGCTGAATTCTATAATCCCCACTTCAGATCCCGAACAGAAAACTTCAGCATTATGAAAGAGGCGTTTCTTACTTTCCCGCTTAATTAATGACGCTGTCAGTACCTGGAATATGGCGCCGAATGGTAGGATGATTTGGAAAGTATTTGGAAGGAACTGGTTGTAGCCTACTCGAGATAATTTCCCGGAGTTTGCCTGGAGGGACTGACAGTATCAGTCAGCATAGCTGGTGTCCGGGTCATCATCCGAACTGCAGACCTCCCGAATAAAAGTCTAGTATGTTACCGCTAGACAAACTTGTTCGGTAAGGCTTATCGTGGTTTCCCTCAGTGCCTACAGCCAAACAAGCTCCAACAATTTCCCTGGAGCCTCCTGGAATGCCTAGGCAAAACCAAGAACAGTTAGTACAGCTAGTATCGCGCCGATATTCGGATAGAAGTCCAAACTCGATATCAGTTTACGACCTGCATATTAATAATACCGTCAAGCATAAACCTCTCCCCCTGCCTGTACTCCACTATGATTGAGAACAACTCTCTATTCCGGGATATAGCGGCGTGTTGTCCTCTGAAAGTCAACAGACGTTTCCGAGGAACATGTCGCCTTCATATTCAGGGTCGACGAATAACCCCAGCCAACATGCTTCATGCTGGTTTCTTACTTAACTTATTTCTCGACCCTGAAGATGTTTCTTCGAAGTGTCGGTTCTCTTTCAACGGACTACATGGCGCTATATCCCAGAATATCTCTTCATAACCACCGCTGTGAGAACCTGAAATCCTACATACCTCATGATTTATCAGAACTGCTGAAGGAAAAGCGTGTTGCTATGTGAAGTATGTTTCTTTGCAGGCTGTGTCACATTCAAACAACCACCAGAAATGATAGAGGTCTTTGATATATTCCCATATTATTCAAAAGCTTGGTTCCAAATGCAAAGTTCATATACAGGAAAATAAGAAGACAAGTAATTGTAAATTAGGATTGGTTAACGATTTAAAGAAAGCGCTAGCGGTCTGCTGTATAGTATCAGCATACATGTTGCTTATTGATACAGAGGAACATCACAGAACTTCTCAATCAGGACATTCAAACCGGGTGCTTCATCACCTGCAAGGTTACTATTAAACTACTTCTAACTAAACGATTGGCTGTATCTAAGACGATGGGTTCACAGTTATATAACAACATCAGGATTTGTTAAAATACTTGCCCCTACGAATGCTTTCGTCCTTATTTCCTTGTCCTGGACAGCTTCCTTCAACATATATTTCGTCATTATGATTTCCAGCAAGAATGCGTCTTCGACAAGACGGGGTTCCTACGCCTACAGGAGTTCCATAGCCACTCGAAGGCGTCGCCCACCCATTAGTTGGTGTCGACCAACCACTGTCAGACGTGGAATATATTTCACTTTTATGATTTTCACCGAGAATGCGTCTTCGACAAGATGGAGTTCCTACACCTACAGGACTTCCATAGCCACTCGAAGGCGTCGCCCAACCACTGTGAGACGTAGAATATATTTCGCTTTTATGATTTTCAACGAGAATGCGTCTTCGACAAGATGGAGTTCCTATGCCTACAGGACTTCCATAGCCACTCGAAGGCGTCGCCCAACCACTGTCAGACGTGGAATATATTTCGTCATTATGATTTCCAGCAAGAATGCGTCTTCGACAAGACGGGGTTCCTACGCCTACAGGAGTTCCATAACCACTCGAAGGCGTCGCCCACCCATTAGTTGGCGTCGACCAACCATTATCAGATGTGGAATAATTGATGACTGGCGTAAAATTATCATTTTCGGAATTTGCGACATCCTTCATACGCTCGTCTGCCCAAAAGTTACATGAATTTCTGTAGTTGGTATCGGAAATATATTTGTTTGACATTGTTGGAACAGCCGTGCTCAATAGATCATGATTTATGTTTCAGTGTTTTTGTTTGTAATTGTACTTCATACTTCGAAATTTTAACACAAAATTTCTTATGTATCCTTACTGAATCGGTGTTTCATAAAACACTATTAACTATTGACATTAAACACTTCAGTTGTTTTGGATTAATCTCGGTACTTCTGGCTTGTTTCGATTCGGAATTAACGTGTAATAATTAATTATTACAGATTTTCTCACTTCGATAGGACTCCGTAGACGAAGGGTAGACCGATATCACGGCCTCTGTCTGCACATGGCAACGCAACACGGAGAAGCCTAGAGATGGGAGCGGTCACAGATGGTATCATTAACTGAGTGACCACCGCAGTCGGCACTTTTGGCACTTAATCTGACTTACTCCGTGAAATTATTAAACATTTCACTGGATTATAAATGGTTTATCTTAAGTTCTAATATTTGCATTTTTCAAAACGGCTATTATATTGTGACATTCTTCCAAATACAAAACAGTCTCCCTTGTTCCTGCTTTTGCTTGCTGCTGCTTCACGGTGGTTTCTTGCACAGTTCATTTTCAGCACTGAAGATGGAGGCGACAAGTTCTTCCGAAACGTCTGTTGGCATTCACTGAACTACATGGCGTTATATACCAGAAGATATAAACCTTCAGTCTCTCTGATGCTACACGACTGGAAGTTTTACACAAATATTCATAACTGTGAATTATGGGACTTGTTGGATATCGTGCTTCGAACTAATTCTACGTAACTTCACACAAGAGCTAGTATTCCCGCTACTGACTTCCCTTCTTTCAGTTGACTCTTATATAGAATCAAATAGTTCCGTCAAATGACGTCACAAAATACGGAGAGGAAGGAATCCTTACGTGTATAGGAATATATGACCTATTGGCAGATCCAAATCCTGTTAGTGTTCCTTCTTCGGTTCAGGCATTGAACATGAACAAGTTATCTGCGTTTGTTATCAGAATTTCTAGTGATTAGGTTTCTTTTTTGTGTGTTATTGTTACTGTTGTTGTTAATAATAATTCTAGGCAAATCTTGTTTATTTGTTTGCTTACTCAGCAGCTCCAAGGCAAATTATAAAGTAAGCAGGTACGAATGAATGAAACACACACATATACAAAAGAAAAAAACAAGTTAATTTAGACACTTAGACCAGGCATGTCAAACTCAACTTGTACAGAGGGTCACCTCAGCCCTATAAATAATAGTCCAGGGCCGCACTTCAAAATAGAAATATACATTAGATTTTGATACTCGTAGTTGATAATTTAATGTTTAATTATAACCTTTATACGTCCATCACAATGTAACATCAGCACCTGTCGCTGTGTGAAAATGAACTGAATGACAATGTACAAGAGACTACCGGACTAGTAGGAAGGTGTATCATGTCTCAGTGGTCATAAAAGTGAAAGTTTGCTAGCAGCCCATTAGACAGTGGCTGGGGGTTGCAAGCTTGTTTTGAAGGTAGAACTCCCTTGCACTTTTCTGTCAGTTGCCACCCTCCTTGCATTCTTACTACGCCTCCAAAAGGGATTCTTGGAAATATATGGGGTGATGAGGTTGTACGGATTTTAGTGCATTACCCTTCTGAATTACAGTAGTTTGTCCTTCACGAACTTTACAAACCGTTAGTTGGACAAACCCTTCTGCAATTCTCAGAATCACTTTTCCTGCAGCCTGCTAATTTATGTCTGCGTGAGACTTCTTGTCTTCTGGTCTGTTGGAAAATTGTCTTTACAAAAAATATTTCTACTAAAATTTTAATATTGATTTTAATATCAATTATCTCTAAAAGTTGAGGGGCCTCACTTTGTGGCTATGGGGGCCACATGTGACACAGCTGACTTAGACAACAGCCAGTGGAGCATGCAAAATCATGAGGAAAGCTTTCATAAAATGCAAGTATTCCAGGTTCGAGTACATTCTTAACTTGTTGCTTACATGAATTTGCGACTTATATAACAGCCCCTCTCGTTGGTGCCTCCACCTTATCGTGGTGAGGGGGTTTGAGTATGCCAAGGACCCTGAGAGCTATACCAGCGGTAGCGTAACTACTGGCAGGGCCTCCTTTGCTGGACAGGTCAAAGGGTAGGCATCAGACGAAGAGGGACACCAAAAACCAAAAACTGATGCCGGAAGCAGCGTCATCAGTAGCGACTTGAAGCACAGAGCAAATGATGCTCGAGATGGTTCAAGTTCGTATAGCAACAGGCGTGACCAGAGTGGTTTGAACGGCTGCTGTACTGCGATGTGGAAAGCAAATGGAAAAACTACCACATTATCACTTTTCCTGGATAGTATCTTTCCAAACACAGAGACACCATGTATGCGAACCAGAAGACGTAAGAAGATGCTGGATGACCTTGGGGACAGAAGAGAATATTCTCATTTGAAGGAGAAATCTCTAGATCGCATTAAGTGGAGAGACTGTTTTGGGAGAGACTGTGGACCTGTCGTCTGACAGATTACTGATAAATGAAAAAATAACAGCCTCGTCAATACTGGACAAAAATGAACTGGAAAGATGTGGAAGGAAGCGGTAATGCCTAATTTGAGGAACTCTTCCGGAATTGGACTGGAATGACTGAGAAACATCAGGAAAAACTTCAGTCAAATTATTCGGTGTCCCGGCCGTAATTCCAACCGGTTATCACCCGATTAATAACTACAAAAATTACTGATTGAGCCAACTGCTTCTGTAGGTCGGCTAATATTGTGTGTTTCTCGCACCGTTCTTTGATATTGTGACGTGGGCGGCGCAACGCTCGGTAAACCCCCCCCCCCCTTTTCCAGTGTGACGTAACAGGGGACAGGGCGGTTAGTACGCAGAAATAAACAGCTCTCGGCAGCGTTCCCTAGCAACGCCTATAAACACGACGTTACGCAACAGTGGTAGCTATCACGTAACCTTTTTTCTGTGTTGTCAGTGAGGAAGCTACATAACAGGAGAATTACTAGTAACCAGTCAGTTGCACTATAGCATTCGCCGGAGTGAATGGAAGCAGGAGAAGTAAGTGTGATAGTGCCGATGGCAGTAATTGGGAAATTGTGAAATGTATAAGTGTACGAGCGAATGTGAAATAAATTCGCTATCTCAAAGACGGCGTGAAGTTATTTGTGACAATATATTTAGCGTAATACTAAAACCTACCCACTAATGCTTATGACAAAGCCTTTTGTATCGTTATTTTAATGTTATAGTAAGACATTACACTTTCCATGTGGAATAATATTACTGCTCCTGCCGTTGTCATTTTATCACTTCCAAGCAGGTCCACTCGAATTCTTCATAATTTTTCAAGTGGTATATTTGGAACTGTTATTTACCCTTTAATAAAAATGCTGAATGCATAGTCAGTCTCATGTGGTAGTTAATTTGTTAGGTACACGTTATTGCAGTCCAGTATGGTTAAAGCGTTTATATGTCTACGTATAAATATTTTTAAATTACTTCAAGGAAAATCCGACTGATTAAGGTCCAGAAAACTAAGACTTCATGATCAACAGCAATTCTGTGTATGAACTACAACACAAACTCGTACTGTGTCTAGTAAATGTTAAAAACACAGTAGTTTCTGATTTTAGGCGTGGATAAAAAAACTCCAGGGTTTTAGTCCGCAAGCGAACTATACCTAACGAGCAACTTCCGCTTATCGGCGAAGTTAGTGCCAACCTTAGCCGATAGAGGGTGTCGCGTGGTCAGCGCAACGAATCCCCACGGCTGTTTGTTTCGGTTTTCCAGAATGGAGCCGCTTTTTCCTTGAAATAGTTACTCAATTATACGAGGCTGAGTGGACCCCGTTCCAGACCCACTACTTCTCAGAAAATGTGGTAGCCCCGGGAATCGAACCCGGGCCTCTGGATATGTAGCTAGGAACTCTGACCACTAGACCGTGGATATGGAACATTAATTGCGACTCTTCGGTTTTCTTTGTAGAAGGTCGAAACTTTGTTTAACTCTACTGCTGTAGGGTTATAAATCTCATATTCCTACAGAAACTAATGCTTTGCTCGTTTACCAACTAACTACACAGAACAATGTTTTCCATTAGCAATTCACAGTTGCTTGCCTCTTCTATAAATTCGCTGTTATGATAAAACTTGAAGGTATATCACCACGTTAAAGAAAACTATAGTTTTACTCTATCCTGAGTCAGTATAATTCATATTTTCTACGTTCATACCCCACGTCTCGAATATTTATTTTAATAGTATCCTCCAATCCACGAACAGGTATTCCTAGTGGCCTCTTTAAAGTTTACAAATGAAATAAATAATGATATAAATTGAAACTGATTTTTGCCTTCTTGCCTTTTACATTTTTATGGACATCAAATCTGACTGAAAACAAATATAAATACCAAAAAAAAAAAAGAGAAGAAGAATGGGGGAGGAGGAGGAAAAGGAGGAGGAGAAGAAAACATTTTCAATGCCGGTTCTCCTGTTTTCTTACCAAGTGAGGACAGCAAGTCTAATTACAGCCAAAATTTGAATGTCGTGTCATGACTATCATTGAGGATAGAAGGGACTAATATTAAAATATATATAAATATATAATATATAAATTAAGGTAATATAATTACACCATTGTAGGCACAGAGTAATATAGACCTTATATTGCGTACGAATAGCTTATAATTTGCGCAGAAAATTAGCAGTTTAGATTGAACTTTTTCATCTTAAAATATCAAAATACATTTCGTTACGCTACCATAAATCACACATTCACAGAGAAGGTACAATACTTATGAAACATGCAGTCTCACGGTGTTACAAAGTAAGCGATATGATTTAAGTGAGCCAGAGTTTAAATGAACGAATTATTAGACATAGCGAATTCACATTTCATGACATGGACGAAGACTGGGCGATCTGCGGATTAATTACAAATAAACCTTATCCGTTTAGAAAAAACAGGAAAGACATTATTCTGTTAAATATGTTACACTTCTTTGACGGTAATATCTGTGAGATAAATCTTCATTCTATTCATATTTTAGACTTAGAGAGCTAGACCAATAACTTCGCAGCATAAATTATACGCAATAATGAGAAGAGACAGAGGCCTACATTGAGTTTTCGAAAAAAAAAATAACAGAAAGAATGGTGATTTATTACTATAAAAAACTTCTCCTGTAACAGAAATAACCTCAAACACTTCGGTTTTGAAAACATTTATTTCTTCCC